AACAAAAATAATAGTGTATCTACGATAAGAGAAACGACCTTCTGATGAGGCCCTTTCTACTAGGTCTGCGGTAAGTGCTTTGCATGGTCATCAAACTTCATTTTCTTAAAATTCTTAAAAGATAAGTACTGAAATGACCCCGTTTTCCAGATGGTCAGCTGAGGCCCTGGGGACGGGCCCAGGGAACAGGAGTGGCAGGTGCCACCTGGGATGGAACACCGCTGTCAGAAGGGTGTGCGGCTGCTCTGCAGGACATGCAGTCTCTCCACCTGGGCATATGGGACTCTGTGCCAGGAAAGCGCAGTGAACTTGCCAGGGGTGGCCCCTGCCCTCCTGTCGCCACACATTTCTCCCGGGCAGCAGCCGGGACCCAGAGAGCAGCTGGCTGTGGTTCTGATCCAGTCTGCAGCTCTGCCCTCCACTTACTCTATTGTTTTTCTTCCGCTTTCTTCTCTCTGAGCCTCAACTGCTGTCTTTAAATGAAGTTGGGAAAATCGGGTGATTTTGGTTGATTCGGTTGGTTGGCAGGAAAGGCCCTTCCACACTTATCTTTTGTGGTCTTTCCAGTCTTCAGCAGCTGGGAGAGACTGAAGAACCAGCTTCAGACGTTGGGGATCAGGGGTTGAATCCACAAGAGTCTTTTCCATGGAGGGGGGATGCTTCTCCAGCCAGGAGCGCCCCTGCTGGAAGGCAGTGTCACTACCCCATGTGTGTTAATGAGAACATTCCCCATGGTCCCATCAGAAATGACCCATCTTTTGTACTTTTACCACATCTCTGAGTCTTTGAGGCAGCTTGTGGGATGGGGTTCCTGACTTCATTTGACAAAAAAGGAAGCAGACATTTTGGGGGAGTGATCTGCCCAAGGACATGGGGCTGACACGGGGCAGGTCGCAGCCCAAAACACTCCCGGCCCCTCCATCCTAACAAAGTGCTTTCTTCCTCCTCCTCTTAAGATCTATTTGGTTTCTAAATATACAAATTATTTATTTTCAGTCTGCAAATTTTGAGTTTTACAAATACTGCTTTTGCCATCCATTCCCATTATTCAATGTAATAATGTCCGTACAGAAACTACTCCTGGACTGCAGCTCAATCCTATTCTTCCAAGAAGTGATTGTTGCCCTCACCTGGTTAATATAATTCAAGAGCGCATCCTATGTGTTTACAAATGTATAAATGTAAATATGAAAACATGCTTTGTTCTTATACATAAATACGATTGTTATATAAAATAATCTGTAATGTCTTTTTTAACGATACCCCTTAGGCATCATCTCATGTTAACACATTAATACATGTAATTCTCTCCAGCTTCTGTGTGTGTGTTTCACACTACACACACTGTGGTTTACAGTGTCGCTTCTCCCCCGAACTCAGGCTGCACCCCGTGTCTGTGTGGGGATTTGGGGCCTGCATCAGAACAGCAGCCCCCCTGTCCGTGCGAACCATCTGGAGGGCCGCTGGAGTGGGTTCAAGTTTAAGCACTGGCAGCAGCTCTGGAAGTTTTTTTTTTTTTTTTTTATAGAGGCATGTTTTTTATTTATTTATTTGTTTGTTTCTTTGTTTATACATGCACTGGGTACAGTCAGAAGCGCGGGAGGGTGAGAGAATTCACCAGAGCCAGAGCAGGGAGCAGAGCAGGCAGAAGAACCAAAGTACACTGCTGAGGGGAGCAGCGGGCAGAAGGAGAGGTCTGTGCGCCATGCGGGACCCTCCTCTGGTGGCCGGGGAGCAGCCGGGGATCGAACCGGCGCCGCAGAGGTCGCCGGCAGCTTCGCAACCCAGCGCTCAACCGCTGCGCCACTGGGGAGGCCCACTGGCAGCAGCTCTGACCTGGAAACTTCCTTGATGTGTGTGGGAGGGTACGGCGGGGAGATATTGGGGGCACTTCCCTCGGCTCACTAGCCCCCTCCCTTCATTGAGGAGCGGAGAATCTTTGCTCAAGGAACTTTAGGATCAGAAAGCAGCACCCTGCTTCTACACCTTTCTGGATGTATTTCTGAGCAAGTTATTAAACCTACTAAATCTGTTTCCTCAACAGCGAGCGGGGAGCCAGTATTATACCTAAAGTGTTAGTAGAAAGGCGTGGGGAAGCATTTGGTAAACACTTGTAAAATGCTTCGTCTCATTACTTCTTACTATAGCCCCGTCACTGCTCTCTGCTTCCTTTCATTCTGGGATGTGGTTCAAGAAATATGTAAAGATCAATCCAGAAAAGCCCTTATTTCATAGTAAGGGGAACCAGAATGGAAGCAACCCTTCCTGTGCTCCCTTTGGATCTTCGCGACAGCCCTGTGGGTGGGTAATTATTTGCCAGTATGTTTGACAGTTGAGGAAACTGAGGCTCCAATAGAGGGGTGTGCCATTTCCAGGTCAGATAGCGGTTGTTGAAGGGAGTGAGAACCTGACCCAGACTCCCTGATCTCCCATCTGTAGTTGCTTTGAGAACTGTAGTGCCAGCTGTATTAGAGACTGTTAGGACCCTCACACCCCGCTGCATAAGCTCGGCATGGACTTGACATTCTGGAATATATCATCCATTGAACACTTCTTAAGACCTTTGAAAATGTGCCAGATCCTGCGCCACATGGTTGAATAGACGAGGATGACTCAGTTCTCTATTGCTGGTGTAGCAATTCCTCCAGTCTGTAAGGTAAGAAAGGTTTTTTTTTTAAATTTTTTTAAAGATTTATTTATTAATTTATACAAGCACTGGGTACAGTCAGAAGTGCGGGAGGGTGAGAGAATTCACCAGAGCCAGGGCAGGGAACAGAACATGCAGACCGACGAAATACACTGCTGAGGGGAGCAGCGGGCGAGGCAGGAGAGGTCTGCGTGCCATGTGGGACCCTCGCCGGCGGCCGGGGATTGAACAGGCGCTGCAGAGGCTGCGGGCAGCTTCGCAGCCCAGCGTTCAACCACTGCACCACCAGGGGAAGCCCCCTTTTTTTATTTTTTAAAAGATTTTCTTATGCATATAAGAACTGGGGTACAGGTTAGAGGTGTGGGGGGTGAGAGGATTCACCAGAGACAGAGTAGGGAACAGAATAGGCAGATTGACTAAAATACACTGCTGAGGGGAGCAACAGGCAAGTCAGGAGAGGTCTGCTGCACCATGTGGGTAGCTCCCTGGCAGGGAATCGAATTCATGCTGCAGAGGCTGCAGATAGCTTCATAGGTCTTACCCCTGGTGCCACCAGGGAGGCTCCCAAAAAGGTTTTAACTTTTAAAAAGTAGTCGGGGGAGAAAAAATTGAAAGAATACTATATTGTGATGTAAAAATTACCTAAAATTCAAATTTGTGTCCCTAAATATTTCCTGAAGTCGTGGCCATTCTTTGCTGTGGCCCCTTGGGCTGCATTCACACAATAATCGAGTGGTTGCCACACCTGAATCAAAAGTTTGATTCTCCAGCCCCATAAAGTATGCGGACCTCCATTAGAGGCCATCACTGCGCAGCATGCATTTCATGTGCATTTACCAAATGCGTAGAGTAGGCATCTCCCAGGCGGTTGCTCGAGTTAGGCATCTTTAGAATGACTTGGCCTCTCTGCTGTACACGCTACCCCTGGGCTGGATGATACAAACCAAGTTAGGAAACAGCGGCCTCTAGTGGCTGATCTAAGCATTACTTAGCTGATTTGATTATGGTTACAGTGAAAAAAATTTAGATGGAATCTTGGCCGAGTTGGGGCTTCTGTGGTTCTTTAAAATTATCTGGAATGTTTCCTGCCTTCTACTGACTACGGTTCGAAACTGGAAGGTGAAACATATTCCTTCAGTGAAATGAGAGTTTAAGCTGAATTAAAAGATAGTAAGGAAATGACAGAATATGGTACCTAACATTCTTTTGAATATGTCGATAAAAGGATGACGTGTTGGGGGCCTCCCCGGTGGCGCAGCGGCTGCTTGCTGGGTTGCTGGGTTGTGAAGCTGCTTGCAGCCTCTGCAGCGCCGGTTCAGTCCCCGGCTGCCGGGCGAGGGTCCCACATGGTGGACAGACCTCTCCTGCCACGCCCGCTGCTCCCTCAGCAGTGTATTTCGTCGGTCTGCCTGTTCTGTTCCCCGTTCTGGCTCTGGTAAATTCTCTCACCCTCCCGCGCTTCTGACTGTAGCCAGTGCTTGTATAAATAAATAAATAAATCTTAAAAAAAAAAAAAAAAGATGAAGTCTTGGGCAGTTACAAGTTTAGAGTAACATTCATTATTACTAATTATTCATAATCCATTATTAAATGACCTAGGTAATTACAAGTTGTTTTTTACTTCAGGTTTGGGCTACCATAGTTTTCACATTATTAACCAACAGCTTTTAAGGCTTTAAAGAGAGCTCTGTAGAAAAACAGATGGTCACACTAATTTCGTGGTAGGAAAACTTGATGTCCTTGCATTTCTATGGACATCAACCATAGAGGCAGAGACAACCCATTGGGGATCAAGAGCTTCGACTACTAGCCTTAACCACTTCTTCACTTTGGATGAGGCATTGTCCCTTCTGGATCTGTTTATCCCCCATGAATAAGCAGATTGGACTAGATAATCTCTAAGGGCCCTTACCACATAAAGACCTTAATTATGACCTCTAGTTGGAGTTTGTATAGCTTTCCCACAGATCTGCAGCTTCAGCAATTTGCCGAGGCCATTCAGCTAGCAAGTGCAAAGCCAGACCTGAAACACAGGTGTTGTTCTGACCCTTTTATGTTCCTGACCCAACTCTGATGCTGCAGGGATCACTGCCACACCAAAGCAATGTTCCTCAAGTAAGGAAAGGGGTGCCCTCTGATGACAGGTATTTTGGAGAGACTGCTGTGCCCAGTATTGGTGTTCTGCTCTAAAGGAGTTATGTGAGTTGAGTATCTTATAGCGACCAAACTAAAACAAAACCAGAAATTGGATTACACTGGAACTGTAGACATGACTCTACACATTCCTTTGCTGTGTAATTTCTGCTACTCTTTTTTTTAAAAAAATAAGGGATTCAGGTCCAAGGCAAGTAAAAAAGCTTTTAATAAACTTTTATTTTTATATTCAAGATAAAGCATATACACAATTGATGTGGAAATAAATAAAACTAGAAATGCAATTGGAAACTTTTCCATTTTTCCTTCAGTCTTTTTCCATTTTTCCTTCAGTCTTTTTACTTGATTTTAAGAAATGTGGCAACTATAATACCACGAGAAAAAGGAACCACAATTATGTACAGAAACATAGAACCGTCTCTGACCATAGGGTTTAGGTGGTGTTTTAATAGTAACACAAAAAAAAGCACACAAGACACGAACACTCTTCAACAGATTTACTCAGCTTCGCTCGAGAAGAAAAAGGCACAGATTTAAGGGGAGGACAGTGATTAAGAATATTGTAAATGGGGCTCAGCCAAAAAGTGACACTTTATGAACTAAATCAGGAAAAATGAACAAAATGAGCTCTTTCCAATTATCTGCCTTCATCAGAATGACTTTTTAAATTAAATTGTATAAACATATGATATAAAGTTGGTACTTAGGAATTGTCTTTGTATATTTCCTCTATGTACAAATCTTCGTATACAATTTCAATGTTCCTTGTACATTTCCTATATATCAAACTGAGCCAGGGCCCCCCCGAGCGCGTGCCCCAGTGCCCGAGGAGCCTCCAGCAGCTGAAGGCCCCAGCAGCTGTCTGCCAGAGTAGCTGCAGAGGACGAGGCCCGATCAAATGTAGTCATCTTCCACTGGCTCTCCATTGACATCACAGTAGTGGATAAAAATGGCCACTACTCGCTGGAACACCCCCTTCTTCATCTGTCGCATCTCTGAAATTTCCTCTCCTATTGTTTCCATACAGATGTCAGCTGATAGTTGCCCTTTTCTTCGAGGAGCGTAGATGGTGCCTTGGAAATAAGAACGAAAAGAGGAGACATAAATGATTACCAGAATCATTTAGAATGTTACTCTAAGTCGGTCCACGAGATATGCCCACATACTGCATTACTACGTGGCTGCTGCACACAGAGCCTGTGAAAAAGGGCCCATCAGTTTATGCGTTTGATGCCTAAGACAGCATCCATGATTAAAGGCCCAGGTGAGATGCACTGAGAGGTAAGCCAAGTATATACACATAGTTCATGAAATCTGTATCTTCATATAGTATTTGTTAGAAAGCTTCATACAAATGGACAGAGTGCTAACATTTAGGGAACTACTGTCAATGGTTCCTTCAAGTTTCCCCCCAAATACCTACACCTGAATTATAAGTTCCCAAACACTACCTGCCTAAGAAGCAGCAGCTCAGAAGAATTAGTGTAACCGGAACAATTTTGAACAATATAGTTGACAAATCCCTCAGTCAGGTGTAATGATACTAAAAACATTTCAGTAGGAAAATCTGTCTGAAGGAATCGCCCCAAAACCCCATCTCATCTATCCCCAGTGAGGCAACTGATTAGCTAATGTATGCATTAGAGCTAACTTTCATAGGGAGAGATGCAAAGAGTAACAAACAGCAAATAAAGACATTTATATGGGAAGCATTTTAGACATTGGGACACTCCTGACTCTCACACCAAATATTAAATGTCACACAATACGACTCAAATCAAGTGGTGTCATAATTACTTTCTTCATCATCTTCAAAGTCATATCTGGCGAAGCTGCTGGGTTCTGCTGCCCGTAGTGATCGCAACCAAGGAAAGTCAGAAATCATGGAATATGGAGCTCCATCCACAACACCTGAGTAAGAAGACAGATGAACATTGCCACGGTGTGAAGGCCAAGCCAGCCAACCATGCGGTGCACTGTGAGCAGAAGGTAAACGTGCTTTCATCCCTCATGGCTGGCAAACGCTGGAGAGGGAGATGTAAACTCCCATCCCAGCTTTGCCACTGTCGGTCCTACAGTCTCGCTCCTGCTCTGCTCTCGTTAGGCCTTGGTTTCTCTCTCTGCACATAAGGAGGCTGAGCCAGGTGCCTTGCAAGTCACTTCCAACCCTCAAGCTTGTAGCAAGTTTCAATTTTCTTCTTTTTATGTTTCAACACTATTTCCGATGATTTCAGGGACAGTCAAGACTGGCCCCGGCTATCTGCAGATATTCAAACCACTTGAGTTCTAATGACCAGGAATCCCCAACATTTTCTCCCCTAAGACAATCTGGCCATCAAGCCAGTTAATAGCTACTTAATTTTCCAACCATTTGTAAATGCTCACCTTCTAAAGTATAAATTTCTCTCCCCCAGGGGTACTTGGGGTATTTCTTTAAGTCCTCTTCAGTTCGTGTGGCTTCAGGAAAGAATTCGTACTTAATGAGCTCTCTGGAGGCAACGGGAAAAATTTAATAAAAATTACAGAACTGAAAACCATGCGGAGGTGTGAGGTAGAAAGAACTGTCCTAACAGAAGTAGGATACTTCCAAACTAGCGAATACATAGCTGATCAGGACAAAACGACTTTTACTATTTTTAAAATCATCTCAGTTCTCAAGAGAGAAAGTCTCTAAGCAAACATCTTGTGTAAGGTACTTGATTATAACACTTATATAAGAAATGCATGAAAAGCCTAATTGTCTGATGATGTGAAACAACATTATTCTAAATGCCTGATCTCTTTTCCATGCCTTGGGACTGAAGGAATGAAGTCAAATCCACATGGACAGTCTGTTTTGTGACTTTTCTTTAAGTTTGAAAATAAAAGGTTCTAAGTGTATATATATGCTTTTTAGTGTCTGTCCTCATTTCCCTCCAATTTTCGCATATTGTAGTTCACATACTTCATGGCTTGAAAAGTCCAGATGAAACCATCCAGAAATAATCAGAACTTGTTTCTGCGAGCCCTGGCTACAGGAAGTGACTGAAAAGGCACCCAAGAGCCCTCATTACTTACTGGTTGATGTTAGCTATAGTGTCCATCCAGCTGCGAATGCGCACCTTGTTCCGGACATTAGGGGGGTTACTGAATTCGTGGATGATACAGATGTGATAGGGGTAGGGCCCACTAAATAGCTTCTGCTCCAATGTTAGCGTATCCACCTATGGAAGAGAACACAGAGCGGGCTTTGGACTGAGGAAGAGAACACCTTAGAAATCTATCACTTAAAGCCTGACCAAAGTTTCTTTGGGCCCTCAATTTTTTTAATCTTAGGCTGATTTGAAAATGAAACAGTCATACTCAACTATGAACATAGCGTGCCTTGCTGTGAGTGAGGTTTAAGCAAATTCTTCCTTGCAAGCTCAGATATTTGTATGTCCTCACTACATAAATGTCCCTTAAAACAGAGAATCGGACTCAGGTAACATGACAGAAATCCACTTAATATCCTTGACTGGCTTAAGCACTGACACATGCAGAGCTGGACTACTGCTCTTTCCTGAGGAGAGACCATGCCCTTCTCCTGTATCATGTCTCACACTCCCTCCTTCTCCTGTAACGCCTACTTATAAAACCCCACTCTGCCGTCTTAGTGGCATATATTCTGCCTCCTCAAAAAGGCAAACTTCTTGAGGAAAGGATGAGGATTTGAGACTGTCTCAGCCCAGCAAGTAACAGACACTCAGCAAATAATTCACTGAAACCACCCTTTTGCAACATTCACTGCAAAGGCAGTTTACTATTTCCTTCAAACTTTCTTTTGGCATCTGAGTCTCATATAAAAAGCTTACTCTCAATAATGATGATGATAGTAATAACAGCTACCACATGTTTGCTTACTAGATATTCACAACTGTTCTAGTACTTCACATATATTAATGTAGCCACCACCATAACTGTAGGTTTTTGTTTTTCTAATTTTACAGATAAAGAAACCAAGACACAGATAAAGAAAGTGAAGTAATCTGCTTCAGGCCAGTGAACCAGACTTTGAATCGGGCAGCGTGAAACCAGAATCTGCACTCGCAGTAAAAAGCAAGGTTAGTAAATAAAAACTTGCTGAATATCAATTCCTTTCAACATACAACTTGCTAAAAATCCACAAAAATCTAGCAGAGAAGCATTAAGGAAAAGGAATGGCAAGATAGTCTAGTGTAAAAGAACTCTTTTGACTCTAAAGAATCATTACTGAGGGCTAAGCAAATGAATAAAAGCCATGACTTAAAAAAATCACCGTCATGCAAGTCATCAGAGGGGCAGAACTCACCTGCTGCATTGGGCGAAGGTATATGATGCGGTTTCTCTCAGGAGGCATCCTTAGTATCTGATCTAGTACCTGGTCCATATTCAGTTTCTTGCACTGTGCATAGTCAAATCGATTTACAATTGGTGCATTTTCTACTTTTAAGTGTTTCAATACCCTGCACCTGGTAGCTACAAAATGAAAACAGTGGTCAATTCTACAAATAAATTATACAAAATCCAGAGTGGTAGTTAAACACTATGGTCTAGTCACCACCCCCCACAAAAAAAACAAAGATTTATACACAGAATGCATGCAGCGCAACACAGCCATGAAACAGCAGAGCCAGGACTCAAGCTGGGGTGCATTTACTCCACATGTGCTGCTAACCTACTTTCAGATCAGGTAGCAATTGCTATTGGGAGGAGACTTAAGAAAAGACTATTATAAAACATGAACCAAGTCTCTGCACATGAAACCGCACAAATACTAAGGAATGATTACTTGAAAACTACAGACTGAGGACAGGATTAGAAATAATCCAACATAATAATCCCTTTGAAAAAATAAAAAATGATTATCGGAGTATTTATTGGTTGCTAATTTTTTAAAAAAGATTTATTTATTTATGCATACAAGAACTGGGGTGTAGACCAGTGGTGTAGGAGGTGAGAAGGGAGACAGAATAGGCAGAGTGACTGAAATAAGCTGCCGACAGGTACAGCAGGTGAGACAGGAAAGGTCTGCTGCGCCATGTGGGTCAGCTCCCTGGCCGGGGATTGAACTCATGCTGCAGTGGCTGGCGTTAGCTTGATAGGGCAGAGACTTTAACTGCTGTGCCACCAGAGAGGCCCTGGCCCCTAATTCTTTAAAAGCATTCATGATGTCTTTTGTGACATGGGTCTAAAATACGTACCATGGATAAACATCATCTTGGGACAGTCTTTTAGCACTAGGTCTGTGATTCCACAGTTGGTCATAGTGACTCCAACAAGATTTTTGGATTTTAACACAAGAACCTATAAGGAGAAAAAAGTTAGATGTAATTATATCTTCCTGTACTTTTTTTTTTCCCCCAAGCTTAAATGTTTTCACTGGCACAAGTGAAAAGCAGCTGTTAACAATTTCTTAGGGCAAAGCAACTATAAAGAGGAAACTTTAGTTCCTTTGCATTATCCAGAAACTTGGCTGGACTGAAAGGCAGGCAGGCTTTTCTCTTCACCTGCACATGGTCATCTTCAATGACAGGATCACTGGTACTAGTGGACTTATCTGCTGTCCGTTTCCGCTTCATGGCATGACGGGGTTTTGTTTTGGCAACCTCTAGAAAAAGCAAGAGGAAAAGCTAAAATTGAGCCTTGCTTTCTTCCTTTAATAGAGCACAATCAGTTGCATAATTCTAAACTCCATCAAGGCAACTCAAATCTACAATGGGGTTTCAGAAGGAATGCAGTTGGACTACTATTTCCCACTGACCTTTACAAAGCCAAAATCACCTTCTATTATCTCAAACATACCTACAATAAACATCATATCGCTTTTCATACCTGGGCTATTCCAACAAGTTAATTTGACACAGTCTCTCTAACTCAGCCTGTGCTAAGTACTGTTGGTGGTTTAAACTCACCATTTACCTATTAAACAACTTCAAATTAGAAACTACAAGCTTAGTAAGCACAGCTCACTGACTGACTTTTGGAGCTATACTTTCAGTCCGCCTATTCTGTTTTATCCCACACCACAGCCTTGTCTCCCACTGCCAATGCCTCTGAAGCCTCTCTAGCTCATTTGCCTAGAACACCATTTTTCATTTCATGTTCTGAATGGCCAGCCGTACCTGAAAGGTCCAGCTCAAATGACACCTGCTCTAACAAATCACCTGGGTCCCCAAACATTATATATGGTTATATAACTCCCTGTATACCTTCTTGTTTCTCTATTTAAACTGCAATCTCCTTGAAGGCAACAACACTGTCTTATTTTATCTCTGTATCAACGTCAGCCCCTAGCAATGAATTAAATTGGACATTTACTGAATGAATCGGCACTCAACATTTACTGAATGAATGAATGCATCACAGATAGGTAAATGGAGGAACAATAGCAGATATTTACTGAGCGCTTACTGTGTGTCAGGCACTTTTCTAATGGTTTTGCTTGTGTGAATTAATTTAAATCCTCCTAACAGTTCTCTGAGATAGATTATTCTCCTCATTTGAGACATGGAAGATAAAAGAGCTTGCTGACGTCTAAGCAGCGGAAGCAGGAATCAACCAGGCAACCTGGTGCCATTTAGTGTGCCAGAAAACCTGCATTCTTTCACCTGGCAAACCTTGGGGCTTGTGAGACATCCCCTAACACACTTATGAGTACTGTTCTAAAATATTATAGCTTAACTATTACAAAAGCAAATACTATGCTAATTTTGTTTAAATAAGTTCTAAATTCATGTCTAAAACTTAGCAAACACATACATATTCTAAAACAAGACACTATAAGTCACTGTGCTCATTTTTAATATTTCATCTTCTATAGCTGAGCATATATTCAAGTAAAACTATCCTTCATGAATTAAACTCCAACACACCGTCCTTCAGTTATTACTACTATACACCAATATTCCACCTGGTGATTTGCTAACTTCAAACAGGAAACAAAGAAAGATAGGGAAACAAGGTGTAAATACTGCAAACCCCCACACCTGATAACCCCTTTCTGTACTATTTGAAATCTTGGTGAAACCTTACTACATTAAAACAATTGAAAGCAGTTGCTTTGGTTAAGGCCTCAAAAGGTTGTCCAAAGTTCTACCCATTAAATGTCCTCCAAGGACTCTTGTCAAAATAACCCTGTAGGGTTCTGGAAAAATAAGAAAACTACTAACCCAGGCAACTAACTTCTTCCACAGTATCCTAAGGGAACTTCAAACAATATCTAACTATCTTTATTGACTAGGAATCTTTGGATGGCAGCACATTTCACATGACAGCCAATTCACATGTCTGGTAACAACTGATAAGTGCTGGTCCCCCCCTCCCAGCCACAGAAATGAACAAACCCAACACAGGTCTGTTTCCATTCCTTCATGACAGTCTTCCAGTAAGATTCTTCTATTAGCAGTCTCCTTTTATGATCCAGTTTCAAAATTCTCACCTTCCTGGACTGCTCTCTCTCCTCCCCTTTAATTGATCAGAATATGGGGTTCAAAGTTAAATTTTCTGCTCTCCAGAGTGCCCAAATTCATGGTGATTTATTTTCTAAGAAAAGTTATAAAATTAAGTCACCCTTTATATATATGCAGATAAGTGGGAAAAACAAAGATTTCCCATTTAAAAGGAAAACAGGCTTTGTTGTGTTTCTTATGCCTCCTTCTTGTTTTGGGGACAATTCTTAGCGATTTCATATAACCATCAGCATCAATATACCTCATATGATGGTTCCTAGCATTTATTAAGTTCTCAATTATTCACTGAGTCCCATACCATGTAAGACAAGTGCTAGAAGCTGAAACTATAGTGGTGAACAAGCAGATAACGTCCCTGCCTTCATGGAGTGCAGTCTATTGGAGAGACAGATAGTAAAACTTGATATGACAACACAGTGTGGCTACATTCATATGGAGGATGCTGTAGAAACACAGACCAGCAGGCCAGTCTAATCTTGGCACTGGTGTCAGGAAAAGAGGTGAGTATTTATGAAAACTGCACTAATCTATATGCTATTCTTAACAATCCAATTATTTCTGTGCTACTTATTTTATGAAGTATTACACAATGAGGACAAAAATAACAACTTAAAGGCGTTTATTCCTATAACAGGAATTCAAGAGACAAATAACTATATTAGTTCCTACATAAGGTGATACATTGAAAACCAAATAAAAACCTCAACTGTTTTCTTCGTAGTGATGTTAAAAAATTCCGTAGTCAATCAATTCTGTTTATTAGTTTGGATTTTATTTCTCCCTTAAAACTTTTAAAATAGAATGGCTAAGAGATTTAAAAATTTGCAACATTAAAAATATGTTGTGAGACACTCAAATAACTTGTTAGTCTTTCCAAAAAAGAGACCTGGTTAATATTAAAATCAGGACTTTGACATTTCCCCAGAAAAGCTGCTAAAGTAAATGGACCTTTGTATGATGTTTAAGAAACATTAGGAAATAATTTACCTAATATATGCACAAATTGATTTAAAAAAAAAAAAAACACACACACAAAGTAATAGATGTAATTTACCTTAAAAAGGGCAAAGCACTATGTAAAAATGAGACTTTTCTTTTTTAAAATCTATGGAATTATTTAGCCTAGAAAACGTTTTAGTGAATAAACAAGTCAGAAGGAAATGATAAAGGGGCGGAGCAAAACATAGGGCAAAAGAAGGAGTGAAAGTACCCTATGATTAATCTGAAGGAGTTATCGTAAAAACCCTAAACAGCAGCAACCTTTAAGGGAAGGCTTGATGCCATAAAAAAGACAATCATCTTTTTAGCTGATCAATGTATTAGAATTCCAAATAAAATCCAAGATTTGAAAAATTATAAAATACAACAATAAGTGATAAATACACAACTAGACAAAGTGATTTTGAAAAAATAAAATAAAAGAGGACAGAACACTGGAACAGAAGAGAATGCTCAAAAGATAAACCTGAATACATCTAAGGTACATGATGAAAGAATCTTTCAAAACAATGACATAAGAATGGGTGTCCAAAATAGTATTGAGACAACATGGTGACAATCTGGAATAAAAAAATACTGTTAGTTCCTACAGGTTAAAATAAAGAACTAAACAAATAAATGGATTCAAGAATGACAACATGTGAACAATCATCTGAACCAGGTATAGAGTGGCTTTCCACAGTATCATATGAAAGAAACCATGAAGGTGGACATCTGATTTTACAAACAGGAAAAACTGTGTGACTTAAGTGTCATAATAAAGTTTCTGTTTGGATGGATGGTGCTGATGGTGGCACAATGTGACTGATGCACTAAATGCTGATGAACTGGACACCTTACGTGGTTACAGTGGTAATTTTGTGTTATGTAAAATTAAAGGAGGTTTATCATTAAACAAAATTCAAGCTGCAAAAAAGATTTTCATCATATGGCAGAACAGGTACTTACAAAGTGTCATGAAATGAAGATTCAAAAAAACTCATTTGAATGAGTTTATGCCATTAGGAGCACTAGGATCTAATTAAGTTTTCATATTCATCTCCTGAAAGCTTTTTGTTAATTTAACTCCGCATGATTCAGTCAGCTCTCTTGAGTACACAGGAAAGCACTGGCTATGTTCTGGGGATGATTTTAAGATTTTAAAGTTGAGGGAGACTTGGAGAATCTTAAAATATTTTTTATTCAATGACAGGGTATTCATGACTTAAAATAAAAGCAAGAGCTAGCTTAAGACAAGGTCAGAAATATATATGGAATTATGACTAAGAAATGTGCTGATCCCCACCTAACCCAATGCCTTAGAATATGTATTTATAAATATTAGTTACAGATGAAATCATAACTATGTTTTCAATACATCTTCTTAATTCTCAGCTAAACTACTTACCTGCTTATCTCCTGGCAAACCTAACAAGAAACAAAACTGGACTTGAGAAAAAATGACTAAGTGTTGTAGAGATACATGTAAGGCTATACCCAAATGGTAGGTACCCCCAAGCCCCAGCCACTTCAGGTCCTTACCTTTTGGCTAAGGTTTAGAACTTTCCTAAGTGTGAGAAGGGAGCAGCGTTTCTCTACTGAGATTCAGACATCAGAACCAATATTAAATTTAGGGTCAATATAGACAGTTGTTATAGCTTAACTATTTTGAGTTTTTCTAGATTGGCTCTTCTACAAGCTGTTTTACCCCCACCCCCTACCCACCACCACTGCTGGAAACTAGTTCAAGATCTGGATGATCCACAGAACCCCAACACAGAATTCCATATGCCTCACGGGCTGTACGTGAGAAAATTTATGGAACAAGCTGTTGCCCCTCGAGTCCTAACCTGCAGTTGCTAACCCTGGGAGCATTGTCATACCTGACTCAGATACCAGCGGTACATGGGAGAGTCTGCTCCTGGCCCGTGTTAGGGGCCTCCGAGGGTAGTCTTCATTAGACTGCACGTCACACCTCTCAGGCTGGGAGCTCCCCCTCCTGTCCTCACCTGTAGCCCCAGAGCCACTCCCATTAGTCCTCTCATCATGTGCTGGGCCTGACGACCCCCCTTGTGGCAGAGTCCTAAAGGAAAAGGCGGATCTCGTACCATCCGGGCCATTCACAACAGAGGCTCGGCTGGTTGAAGGACGTTCCTCATCAGAACACCTGCTAGTTCTCCTTTGGGATTCCTGGGGCCTGTGACAGCAGCATCTGGGGCAGACAGAACTCTCTGCATCTCCCTCCTCCATGGCCTCAGAGTCCTCTGACCCACCGGGGGAGCAGACACACTGCCTGGACACATCCACTTCTGTAGGGCTAGGCTCGGAAGAGCCGCCGCTGTTCACGGTCCTTACAAAGTCGGGGCTTTGAGAAGCAGTGCTGTGTGAGCTGGAGTCTCTCACTGTGCTGGCGGCGGTGCTGCTGCAGCTGGGATAAACATCCTTGCTTTTTTTCTTTTCAGGAATATCCCTAGCTGCTTTCATATCGGCTTTGATCTGCTCACTGGTGACCTGACAGCCTTTCTCACAGCTGCTTTCCTCGAGAGGAAACTGCTTCGACTGGCCCATCTGATGGGAGTTGTACCTCTTTCGAAGTGGAGTCTTGCCTTTTCCACTTACTGCTTACAGAAAAAGAAGAATGGCCCGAGGAAAAGAAAAGATTTCAGTACAAATTCTGGACAAAAGGCAAGAGTAAATTTGGAACAGGAAACAATGTACACTAATTTTCCTAAAGTATAATGGCGACCACATCACTCAGCTGCTCACAAACTCTTTGGAAACTCGCTCGTGACTACCTGGAGGAACCTTAGCTCAGCCTTCAGTGCTCTCTATGAATGAATTCTAAACCAATTTTCCATTCTTGTACCCTCTCTCTAGATATCCTATCCTCCGGTCCAAACTCTTCCCTTAATAGGTACACCCCTGTCTTACGACTTGGGCCCTTTGTTTTCACCAACTCTTCAGCCTGGGACCCCTGCTCAATGTCTTCCGTACCCCGCCCCCAAATCCTTGCAATTTGTGTCCTGTAACTGCATTTCCTATGTTTCTGACCTGACTCTTCAGCTAAACTAGAGATTCCCTGGACTTCTCATGACTTACTCATTCTTGCATCCCTCACAGTATCTAACACAGTACCTGGGGCACAGTAAGGCTCAATGAATATAAAAATGTTTAAAGAAATAAAGTTTTTGACTGGCTGACAGAAGATCTAGTTTCTAACTTCAGAAATTGAATTTTCTAGAAAACATTAGGTTAGTTATAGTGGGTCACATTATTTTCCCTCAATTTCAGTTTCCAGAAAACCTCCTTTTGACCTTAGGGTAAAGATCTCTGAATTTCTTAAAAGGAATAAAATAAGAATTGAGTAATCAGTCAATGGTTAGTAAATGACTCCAATAAAGAATTGAGCTTCCCATACACAGAAGTGTGTGTGTGTGTGTGTGTGTGTGTGCCTATTCAAGTTCAGTGTCAAATGTATACTGAACATTGCAAAACATTAAGGAGTAGGGGACCCAAAGGAAAACAAGTGGGCAATTTAAAAACCTCACCCTTTGCTAAAAGTGGTAAGCATCTGGTTCTGAGAAACAGAATGGAAGAGAAGACAAGAAATATGAACCTGAAAGTTAAGAGAATTATAGTTCCTTGGTGAGGCAAATGGCAGAAAGCTACTGACTAGATTTAAAGGGAGGCAAGGGATGGTAAGAACATGCTCCAGGACTCCCTCGATCACCAAAGCAGTCACCAACTCTCACTAAGCACACCTGCAAGGGTTAGCAACCGGGGCAGGTTGCCTTCTTACTGCTTTGACGACTCAGCGGTCATCTTTCATGCGAAGCGCAGCCTCTCACTAATTCAATACCCTCGTGCCACGACTTCCTAAAGCCTCCACTGCAGGACTCACGATCCTTACACCCTCTTGCCCAAGCCCTGACTCCACAGCATTTTGTTGTGCTAGGCTTGCCCTCAAGAGCACCACCCGATCCCCTTCTCACTTGGCCCATAGCCTTTCCTGCCTCCTGTCATACTCCATAAGGAGTGTGTGAACTGCACCACAGGCTGTGGCGGGAATACATTATAGGAAGGCCAAGTGTGTCAGTCCTCAAGACGTCTCTCGCTACAGGTCAGAGGAAGACGTAATCTCTCACCTGACAGTTCCCTGGACTGCACTGACTCTCCGGCTTTTTCTTCACGCTCAGAGTAACGCCGAGCACCATTTTTAGGAATCCAGACTTCTTGGAGTTCTAGACTGTCTTCCTCATCATCACTCTCTGAATCATGAACAGTAATTGGGGTTGGTTTTACTACACGCTGAAGACCACTGGGTCCTAAAAAAAAAAAAAAAGCACAGGCCTAACCATTATTTTTGACCAAGAAAGGTTCTTACTCAAAGTACTGTTTCCAGGAATCTGGGCTCACAAAGATCACTCTTAAAAAAAAAAAAAGAAAAAAAGATTTATTTATGCATACAAGAACTGGGTATCTCCCAGAGGTACAGGGGGTGAGAGGATTCACCAGAGACAGAGTGGGGAACAGAACAGGCAGACTGACTGAAATACACTGCTGAGGGGAGCAGCAGGAGAGACAGGAGATGTCTGCTGCGCCATGTGGGTCAGCTCCGTGGCCAGGGATCAAAACTCCTGCTGCAGTCGTTGTGGACAGCTTCATAGTACTGACGCTTAACCCGCTGCACCACCAGGGAGGCCCCAAGATCACTCTTTTTAATGGAGTATATACTTGGACGAGATACTGTGACGGCACTTCAGTCCAAAGCATGATGTAAGTAAGCACTAAGTAGGATAATATGAGAGCCACCATTACACTCATTTTTAAAGGCAAATTTAAAATGAAGATCAGATGGCACCTCCCTTCAGGACTGTCATTATTTGAAAAAGTCACATAAATCATCCTACTAATGATCAAAGTAACTCATAATCATATGAAAAACAGGCTAAAGCTCTTGGGTTCTTGCTCCCAGATGACCAAGAAAACAAGGACTAATAGTTGTGTCAAAAGGGCTGTGGCCACATGTAACCTGTTTACTGTACCAACTGCCCCCACTGCATGTCCAAGGATGCTTTTAAGAAATCTGTCATTGAAACAGTATGGAGGTTGCAGCCATCGGCAACATATTCAGCACCTCTATGCTTCCCAAGCTTCATGTGAAGCTACACTACCCGCGTGAGTGTGCCTCATTGCAAGGTCATCAGGAATTGTTCTCATGAAGCCTGGCAGGATAGAACACCCAGACCCCAACTTAGACTTACAGGTGCTGCCCCAAGACTTCCTCCTGCCCATGTAAATAAAAGAGCTTAGTCCTTAAGGACTGAAGAAAAACTATCAGAGTTTTCTTTAAGCTATACTTAAAGAAAAAAAAAAAAAGGCTATTTTCCTAATTATGCCCATGTATGCATGACGGCAAAGCAAATAAAGGCGAACTTGAGATATTCATTGGGCTGGTGAGAATTCTCTTAACTGATGTAGGTCTGTCTGGTTGGAATTTGCAGATACATCCTTGAAAGGCTAGAAGCATGTGATGATTTGGTTATCTGAGTATGTATATTTATGTAAAAATTGTTTCATCTTCTTGGCAATACAGCTTGTAAGCTTTTAGCTCTAGAACCCAATTCTCTCTGATAAATAACTGATTTTGCTCCATCAATAAATGGAGGGAACCACACTCGTCACACTGTATAATGTCTGACAGAGTAGGCACTCAGTAAACATTTGTTTAGTAAGTGACTGTATCTGTAAGACTTAAAACAAGGGTAGTTAAAGACATTTTCAATTCAAAGACAACATTATGCTAACAGACCAGAAGTGAAAAAACGAGTTTTTTCAATTCTGTCTCTTGATTTCTGTCTTGGAGGTCTTCAGCAAATTAAACTTTTGAAAGAATGTAAGTTTCCCCATCTGTAAAAGGAAGGTTTCTTAAGACTGCTGCCTGCTGCAAATCACCCAACGGAAAATGGATCTTGATCTTTTACTGGACCAGGCCAGCCTCTCCACTTCTCACCGAAATGAAGGTTCCCCTTCATTTTTTTTTTTTACTTTGTCATTAGAAGAAAAATACATATATATATTCCTTTGATTCATTTTCTTCTGAATTCCATGGATGAGCAGAATATTTAATCAGTTCATTTATTTTCTTGTCAAGAAATTGAGGGCTTTCCTTCTGCACACACACCCATCTATACCAAGAACATTAACACAGACCTCAGTAACAGCATGTACCACATCATTAAGTGTAATGTTATAAAATAATCATTCTCAGTATTTTCCATTCCTCATTAGTCAGGCCCTAGCTTACAGAACCACGATTGAGGGGAGTCACAGGATTACCTGCTTGTTCCTCGTCAACATCCACAGGAATAACTGCCTGACTGTGAGCTGGAGTCTCAAGTCCACTCTCAGCCACCACCTCTCCATCTTCCTGTACCATGTCTTCCATCTCATTCAGGGCTTAAACAAAAACAAACACAGTCACAGTAAAACAAGGAGAGGTCTAAAATTCCACAGTGCCATGAAAAACCAGCGCCCCTGAAGAATGAACAGCCCCTTGATTACTAGGCCCACTCTGGGGAAAGAGCATATAATTGTGCTTCATTACACAGACATTAGAAGAAATGCCCACATATTCTACAGAAGAGGAACCATGGAGTGGAAAGGATCACTTGGTGGACAAAGCTGAGTGCTGGGAGATGAAGCTGGGAGAAGGGCACCAGTGAAGAAGCAGCAGCGCGTTCACTCTTGGAGATGTAAGCAGGGATGGCTCTAGGAAGCAGCTTTCTTTCCCCTTCTATACTACTTGCCTTCTGGTGAGAGGCAACTACCAGCAGACCTGATGGCGCCTCAGCAGCAATGAGTGTTGTGGTACCTGGCAGCTAAAGGGGCATGTACTCGATAGGCAAGATCAAACTATGTATTTCTTTTCCTGTTCCTCAATGGCTGCAGTATCATTTTTGGTTTGTATGGCAAGGATTATTAACAAATATACCAGTACATTTTAAACTTTTATCATTCAAATACATTCTTTGCATGCAACTCTTTATCAATAAACAGGAACTTGTGATTTTTTTTTATATTATTTCAGAGGATAAACCCAGTGAACAATTTCATAAAGACAAGTTTCAAAGAGTTTACTGCATTTTAAGATAAAATGGTCACCTTCCAAGAGGATCCCAAATAAAATAAATCCTGGCTTTGCTAAGATTAAATCCAAATCCCTGAAGGCACTCAATCAAATACCCTTTTACTACCGAAGCATGTGTGCCTGAACTCAGTTTGACTCCAAACAATACCAATACTGCCCTTCTCATTTACAGCCTGGCAGTGACCCAGAGGGCAGTGGAGACTGTGCCAACCCCGTTTACTACCACTTACATCCTCAATGTCTAGGAGTGTCGGATACCAGCCAACCATTGGATGAAATAAGCCAGCCATGGAAAAAACAATGCTGTCCCCGAGAGAACTGAAGAATCTACTTAAGGAAACAAGACTAATCCTTACAGTTAACGAACAAGGCAGGAAAACATCATTCAGATAACTATCATGAGAATATTTTGTGATGAGGTCTGAGGTTTCATAAAGACAACTGGGCTTGTGTTCACCTTAAATATACATGACCACACATCCCTTCTTTTGTTTAGTATCCCAGCTCTGTTCAGCTCTAGCCCTCAGTATCTACAGTTCATTTAGCACCAAATGAGGAGTGACCTTGTCTAGAAACCTTCCACAGTAAAAGCCAATCAACTTTCTTCTTTCATTCAGTTTTATGGACAACTGTGAACAGCAGCTAGTAATTAAAGTGTACATCATCTATATCAGGCTTTTTGCTAAATATTTTCATATCTTATTTCTTGCGGCAATCTATAGGACATCACGAAGAACCTCATTTTTGCAGCTGAGAATATTGAGGCTTTGCAGTATTAACAATCTGCAAGACTTTGAACTTAAGTTTGTTTCCAGAGTCCCCTATACTACCAGAACTATGAGTAGACGGGAAATGTATAATCCCTGCTCTCAAAGGAGGCATAAAGTTTAGCAGATGTTAGAGACAGAGAACAAAGTGAGAATATACTTGCTAAGTGCTGAAACAGGTGAAAAGTACATAGGGAACATAGATAAAAAAAGGAGGCACTAATTCTGTTGGGCAGGAAGGTTTCACAGGGATGAGGTCACAATTCAAATACTTCCCTACCAAGAAGCATGTAACATTTTCCAGAGGACTATAAGTAGTCCAGTGATAAAAACAACAGGTGTTTGTGTTGAAATGGTATAAAAGGAAAAAAAGAAAGCCAAAACAAAAGAAAAAGTTACCTGGGTCCGGAGTGTGAAAAGTTTAGAAAGCCTTGCTAAAAAGCTTAGAACGTTTTCTTATATAAATAAAAGGGACCCACTAGAACATAAATACATCCATGTGTCTGCGTGATGAGGTTTTCAAGATGCTGAACAAGAAACAGCTTTTTAAATTGCCAGAATAACTGGCAGACGTATTTAAAATAACCAAAAGTTGTAAACTGAACTCCTTCCCATAGAACCTACTCATCAAGTCTTTATACAGCATCTATTATAATGTTATAATGTGTTTCTGTTCCCAGGTGTGAAGAATAGTGGTGACATTCAAGATCCCTAGTCCCCCCCTGCTTATTCCAGTTGAAGGGGATAAAGTTACTTTTAAATAAACAATGAATAAAAACACAAGATAGTAATATCTGAGGTAACAAAACTAAATGAGGCTGATGAGGTAAGGAATGAACTGGTGACTACTTAAGGCGGTAAAGGAGGATGTCTCTAAGATGAACATTTACATTAAGACCTAGGTATCAAGAAGAAGCCAGTCACGCAAAGATGGAGAGAAGAACGTTCTAAGAGGCCGCAGTCAATGCACAGGTAGCGGCAGTTCAGCAGGACTGAGCATGGAGAGTGAGTGTGGGGAAGAGCACAGGTGAGGACAGGCTACATCATGTTGCACTTTATAACCCGAGTCAAGAAACTGGATTTTTTTCCCAAGGCAGTGGGAAGCTATTGGAAGGGTTGGAAGCAATGTTGTCTGCTTTACATTTTTAAAGATGGCCCTAGATAATCTAAGAACTAATTTAACAGAGCAAGAGAGAAAGTAGGGAGACCAGTTTGAAAACTATTAAATTACATAGGTAAGACAGGTAGAGCGTCAACAAGACTTGCTAAAGGACTCTGGACTGTGGAAAGCAGGTAGGTGGTGGGAAGGAAAAGGTATAGACAATTTATGTCTCGGGTAATTAAATGAGAAGGTGGTATCTTTGCGTGGGAGAAATGCAAGAGATTTGCTGATTTTGATTTTCATTTTTCTAAATACTTTATCACATCTTTTTTTAGAATGGTTTTAACTTAACAAATTATATAAGCTATCTTTATATCAAACATCAATATTTACCAAGTGTATTTGTTCAGCTACAATGTATTTTCTGTTTCTAAAAATATTCCTGTTACAAAATATAATCATAAACTTTAATGAACTTGAACAGATACATTAACTATTTTTACAGATACATTAACTATTCTCTCTTGGGTAAAACACGATTAGATACCTCACCCTCAGGATTCAAAATTACAGATTTTCCATAAATCAGGCTCCAAATGTGCTCCCAACCCAGAAGGACTAGCATTAGCATCACCTGGGAACTTGTTACATGGTTCCACCCAGAACTATTGACAGAACCTCTCAAGGAGCCCAGCTATCTGTGGTGGAACAAGCCCTCCAGGTGATTCTGATGCACTCAGGTGTTAGCATCACTGCCAAAAAGCTGCAAAGTATTTCACTCTGAGGTTCATTTAAGTGAATGGGGGGTGGGGGGGAGGAAGGAGAGGAAGGATGCAGCATATCATTTTTAAAAGCATAGTACCTGCAAGCCTCCCTAGTGGCGCAGGAGGTTGAGCGCAGTGCTGTGAAGCTGTCCACAGCTTCTGCAGTGCCGGTTCGATCCCCGCCAGCCTCCGAGCAACCCACATGGCGAGCAGACCTCTCCTGTCTCACAGTGTATTTCGTCAGTCTGCTTGTTCTGTTCCCCTCTCTATCTCTGGTGAATCCTCTCACCCTCCCACGCATCTAGCTTGTACCCCGACCCTTGTATAAATAAAATAAATCTTAAAAAAAAAAATAGCACCTGCGATTTGTCTTGTTTTTTAAGACTTATTTATGCATACAAGAGCTGGGGTTACGGGCGGGCCAGAGATGCGGGGGGTGAGAGGATTCACCAGAGACAGAGTGGGGAACGCAACAGGCAGATCAACTGAAATACACCGCTGAGGGGAGCTGCGGGCGAGACAGGAGAGGTCTGCTGTGCCTTGTGGGCTGCTCTCTGGCTGGGAATCGAACTTGTGCAGCAAAGGCTGCATATTGCTTCACAGTGTGGTGCCTAACCCCTTGCACCTCCAGGGAGGCCCCCCTGGGATTTATGTTTAAAATCATGAGGGAAGATTAGTTAAGTGACTTATGGGTAAAACTAGATTTTTGTGGTTATAATTACTACAAGATAATAATATTATAATAATTTGGCAAAATGTTTAGCAATTACAGAGGGATGATTTTTGGCATGTGGTATTTTTATGCTAGGCAAATGTGAATTGTTACAAGATATGAACATCTATTCCTCTGTTTTAAAGAACTGCAAAATTCAGGTAATAAGCTTATTATTTTCAGGTTAAGAACACTAGCCTACAATCGAGCATTCTGAGTAAGGCTTTTGAAAAAACAAATAGTAGGTAATATCCTTACCAAGTTATACAATTTTGAGAACATAATCTGTGGGAAAATGAAATTTTTTTTGTTGGAGTCATCACTTTAATGATAACAGCATGGTTTTGTTACAGCAGTTTATAAGCAAAGTCACTTAATTTATACAAATTAATTTATTTAGCAAAATGCCCATCCCTTAAAAGTCAGTTACTTCATGCAAGCAAGTGAGGCTAAATACAACAGGGCAATAAAGGCCCATTCTTTCTTGGGATGGTCCAAAACCAAGAAGAGGCCAATGCATGGAAAGTTTTAAAATTCTAAATGAAAGAGGGTCAACATGTCAATATTAACTTCAAACTAAAGTAACTTTTAAACTGTTTTAAACTTCTCCTAATGAGCATGGCCCTAATTTGAGCATTTCAACTAACACTAATTCTTACTGATCCATTTTTTTGAATCTCAATTTATTCTGGGGCTTTCTGTTTTTGCTGTTTGTTTCATTTCATTTTATTTTTCCTTCCTTTACTTGATTCTTTTGCATCGCTCAAAAGTTACACATTGTTTCGCCAGCTTAGCTTTTTTTTTTTTTTTAAAAGACTATGATATATGTGAAATAATAAATGCAAGCGACTGTAGAGTCCACCTGGAGACCTGTGGAATCTGCCTTTTATAACGAACTTATATCCTTTATACCAAGGACAAAAGTAAAATAACAAAAGTAAAAAAGTAAAATAATAGAGATACGAGCAAAGGAAACTGAGGAGGCATGTCCAGTTTCAGGCATGAGCAGGAAAATGGTTTCAGAGGTGCCAATAGAAGAAAGAAGATCAGGATGGCAGAAGTGGGCAGCAAAAGCTGCTGAGATGTCAAGTAAGATGAAAGTGCGGAAATGACCATCTTTCCTAAGAAAGTCGCTGGTGACGTTGCCAAAAGCCAAAATGGAGACTTCTGTAGAGAAGAGAGAGAGAGCATGGACAGAGATGTTAAGAGATACTTCTTTCCTAAATTCTGAATGTAAAGCTCAGTTAAGTCAGGCCACTAAGGCTCACTTGTACTGTAATTTCCATGGCACTGATGAGCCCTTCCCATCCCCTAAGTCCCCTTACAGAGTCTAGAGACAAGGAGCATCACAAAGCTAGTTTGTTTTAAACAAGCAGTTAGGCAGATTTCATCCTCCCCTTCATTTGTCTCCTCAATGTGGAAAGAGATAAGCTGAAATAGAGGGAGAAGTGAACAGGATAAAGTCAGCAATTTTTTTTTTTTTTTTTGTCCAAAGTAAAAATCATTTCTATCTGGAGCTCACAAAAGATCTGGGTTACCGTCGGCTGCAAACTGCTGCTCTCCTGGCTGGAGGTCTGGCCGGAAGTCATTCTCCTCATCCGAGTCATCTGGGTGGTGGTGATTGTTGTCGTGGATGTTGGCATTGTTCTGGGCATTGTTATCATTGTCATTGTTAGAGTTCTGGTTGCTGACGAGGGCTGAGGACACCCCGATCCCTGTGCCTGCACTCAGACCCACTCGAGCACAACCCTAAGGCAAGAGAAAACACGTGCTCATGAACTTGGGTTGACAGAGAACACCTCATTTCCGTGAGCCCTTCATGTCTTCTTTATTAAGGTAGTAATAAGAGTACTTCAATAGCACTTTACTTATGAATAATTTCATTTCATATGCATAAAGGCTCTCATTTAAGGTTTATGACACTTGATGCGATGGAAGTCATTAATCTTTCTTTACAGATGATGAGATGCACACAGCATGCCAGTAAATGACACAACAGACTGGAAACCCTGTATTCTGACCTCAAATCCTGAGCCTCTGGCCTGTACCCCAGGTTCTTGTATAAATAAAAATAAATCTTTAAAAAAAAAAAAGAGGCCATGTGTCACTATAATATAACTTAATGCCTCCACTGAGGATGGTAGTAAAAAGTTCCATTCAACGAGACTGTGAAGGTATATTACAAAAAAGAAAAAAATCTGAAGTATCAAAATAAACAAAAGCTCGGTCAAATGTAACTTACTTTGGGTGGTTCACGAAACATCTGGTCCAGTGAAATAAATTCCAGGCTAGGTAACAATTCAATAAACTGGCCGAAGGAGTCCAGCTTCAAAGCATGGCACCGTACTAAGTTGATATCAACCAATCGAGCCCACCTTGAGTGATCTGTTGAAGAAAACACATGGTCAGAGAAAAGGGAGTAATATTTTCTCCATTACTGATGAATTTTATGACAGATCATAGAAGCTTCACATCCATTTTCTTAAAATTAATGTTTCCGGTATCTCATGATTTGTAAAACGTGCTGACTCTACACTTTGATGGTTCCTTACCTAATTTCACTGTGAGAACTACATGACCTAGGAAAATCATTAAGTTAAAACTAAGAGAGCCTTCATTTAAATGTGAGCCACTCAACCTACATGTCCATTCAGCAACAGGACAGTAGTTAAGAAATTTGAGAACATTCGTTTAATAGACTATTATGCGGCCATTAAGAGAATGAAGGAGGAAGTGCCTGTCCACAGGAACAGCTCTCCAAAATATACTCAGTGAAAAAAAAAAAAAAAAAAAAAAGAAAAGTAAAAAACTAAAGGACACTGTACACATAGTGAGATCCTTTTGAATATATAAATTATTTTTAAATACTATACATGTATAGGCTGTATTATGCACAGAAGAATTTGTTTAGAAGAATATACAAGAAACCATTGATGGTGGTTACCTTTGAGAAGAGGAGACTTTTCATTTTGTACCTTTCTGTACTGTTTGATACTGTTTATCAAGTGCATGTATTACTTTTATTTTTTAAGTGTTAACAGGAGTTCTGAGTGATGGGATTATAGGCCATTTTTTTGTTTTCTTCTTTAAACTCTTCTGTATTTAAGAAAACAAACAAACCAGAAACCCAATAAATGTTATTTTTTAAAAAGTGATCTAAGCCTGTTACAACCTAAATTTATAATCCACAATAACTCCTTGGTGCTGCTGCACCAGGGACAGAATTCCACTTCCGGCAGGTGAGATATGGCCATTCTTAGTAAGTGATCTCAGCAGAGACCCCAGAGCCCTACAAGGGTGGAGATGGGCTTTGTGTGGGGCGGTGGTCTGCATGAGAGACACCTCAGACAGCAGAATAGGTAGTGAGGGGATTTGGCTTTGGTTAAAGTGGATGTCACAATGAAAATTCTCAGGCTCTGAATTTATTTAAAGATTTGTGAGGGCCTCCCTGGTGGCGCAGCAGTTGAGCGCTGGGTTGCGAAGCTGCCCGCAGCCTCTGCAGCGCCGGTTCGATACCTGGCTGCTCCCCGGTCACCGGAGGAGGGTCCCACATGGCGCGCAGACCTCTCCTACTGCCCGCTGCTCCCCTTAGCAGTGTACTTCGGTCCTTCTGCCTGCTCTGCTCCCCACTCTGGCTCTGGTGAATTCTCTCGCCCTCCCGCGCTTCTGATTGTACCCAGTGCTTGTATAAATAAATAAATACAATAAATAAATCTTTTAAAAATAAATAAAGATTTGTGAATTTAGGTATTTAAGAAGAGTAGTTAAAGCAACAGATAGTTATTACTCAGGGAAGAAAATGAACTCCATCCCATAAGGAAAAGTATAGGTGCAAATAATTCACACTTCTCTATCCAGGGGTTCAGATGAGGAGAGGAGGGCATCTGAAATACCCTAGGATTTTAAGTCCTTAGAAAATTTCACCTCAAGTTAATGGTTAAAAAGTCACCTGATTTAAGCTATTTTAAAATACATATTCACTTTATCTTTCAGAGACATTTTGAAGGTAATTCAGAGAAAGCAGCTACCGATATCTCAGGTAACAATTCTTAATTTTAATGTCACGTCAAATAAGTCAATGATGTCAATTAAGTATAAGGATCAGGGCGCTTGAACCCACAACCTGGGTAGTGCTCATTTATAGGCAGGGAATTTCAGGAGTTCAAAGAGGTACTGAATATACTTCCACTGTTATCAAAGGTTCCCAGAATGTGTACGAACAATCCATATAAAATATCCACTGGCATTAGACATGCAATCACATACACTGAAAACAAAGATGCATTATTTCAACATCAGTAAAATACAGTTATATGTAAACCTACAGTACCTGAAATCCAATTGTATGGGTTATGTAGATGAGGGCAATTATAAATTGCCAGATATTTAATACAGGAAAAAACTTCATTGACCGCCTTCATTCCTATATCTGTGATGATACCAGGATTTTCTACCACGTCAGCCAAACCATACTTCACTAGATCTGCATTAGCCATTCTGCCTAGAAAGAAAATCAATTAAAAAAAAGAAAATAGAAGATTCTTAAGTGTCACAGAGTATTGCCAATTCATTATCTTAACATCTAGCGTGGTCATGCTCTATGATTACACTGTGTTACCTGTCCGTCTTTTCAAGTTCCAGTTTGGGTACACTTTAGGTTAGGTACTTAGTATGTATGGTTTTACTTCTTTTGCAAAGTAAGACTTTATATTAAAAGTCAAGGAACAGCTAATAAGAAAAAATGCCAATTGTTTAGAGAAGAAAAAAAGACAGTGACATATCTTACAGCACAACTGAGGGAGATACCTTATCAGTTCACACTGAAGGTGAAGTTTTAGTATTCTCCAGTTTTATTTTTAAAAAGAAAATAAAATCTTAAAATTCCAACTCTCTTACAGAAAAAGGGAGTCTGTTGAGGCCCGATGTAGAGAAGGCTAAACATTGGAGTTTCAGATTCATTTTTAACAATTGCTATGACATTCGTTAGAGAATATCACCTATCCCCAGAAAACAGATTTCTGCCTCAAACACATCCTCTCTATGCCATGGGGCTTCAGAACTTAATACTGCCACACAGATTAGGGGGTAAGGAGGGGGCTAAGTGAAGAGAACACTGCATTCTATATTACACCATTGTATATCACATCTCACTCCTTGTGTCCTATTATTTCTCTCCTCCATCTGCCCTTTACTCTCCAGGATGGTCTGTTTGACTATGAGGAGCTTGAAGGAAAAGAGGGATTATGTCTAGTTTATAGCTATATTTCCATTGCCCAGAGTTCTGAGGATATAGGAACTCACAGATGTCTTCCACAGTCCTTGCAATCAAGTGACACAAAATACAACAAAACCCCCTTGCTCTGGTGAAGCTGTCCTGCACCGGGATTTAACTCTTTAGCACAGAACATGTTTAAGACAATCCACCTACTCCAAAGTCTTCCAGCTTCACTTTCTTTTCTTTTCTTTTTTTACAGATTTATTTATTTATTTATACAAGCACTGGGTACAGTCAGAAGCGCAGGAGGGTGAGAGAATTCACCAGAGCCAGAGCGGGGAGCAGAGCAGGCAGAAGGACCGAAGTACACTGCTGAGGGGAGCAGCGGGCTGCAGAAGAGGTCTGCGCGCCATGTGGGACCCTCCTCCGGTGGTCGGGTTGCAGCTGGGGATCGAACCAGCGCTACAGAGGCTGCGGGCAGCTTCGCAACCAGCGCTCAACCACTGCGCCACCGGGGAGGCCCCAGCTTCACTTTCTATATGGTTTGTGGTCTCTTTCCTGTGGTCCCTGTTTTTGTTATTTACCGGTATTCCAGAATTCACATTCATCCACCCTTCACAATTCAGCCAAGCGATTTTCTTTTACCTCCTGGTAAAAATTTGTTTCCTGCCATGGGTCTCAAAACTGGCCTTCATCCTAAAATATAGGGTAAATCTTGACCAGATTCTGTTCCTTGGGCACTATCTGCATAAATGCTACATCTAATATGACAAACCCATGCCTCATATTCATTCCTTTCAGACTACCCCCTTATCTTGCTCTTAGAGGGTCTCCTGATGGTCTCACTCTTCAAAATCCTGATATTATTACTCAGAAGTCATTTTGGTTTCTTTTCTCTCAATCAGTCAACTAGAAGTAAAAGCTACCACTTGTTGGATGCTTTCTAATTCTCAGAGACTATAATAAAGTCCATACTTTTCCTTTGTTAAATGAAGACCAATCCCCTTTTTTCTTAATTGGTTTAACTCCTCAGAACAAGTGACTCTTGCTTGTCTCTAGTCAGCGAAAGACACCTGGCAGCCTATTCTGAAGCAGAGAACCCCAGGAAGTCTTTGGAGGAACGACACCCAGGTGAATACCTATATGGAAGAAATGGATGTACTGCATCAAATATGAAGAGTAGCGTATAAAGATCAAAAGTAAAAGATCACTAGACATGAAATAAACATGAAACAAGTTATGTTTAAAAGTAAAAGATGCTGGTCATCAAAAGAGTAAAGTGTTTTTCTACTGGAAATGTTTGTCGAGGGGAGAGAAACACTGTAAGGGAAATAGTTAATTGTAAAGAACGTCTCAAAGATCATCTTTCAGGGCTCCTAAGTGAGGCCATCTTAAATTAGGATGCAAAATGTGTCAAGCATTGAACATTTGAGAAGAACAAAAAACAAGATCAGAAAAAGAATACCAATCACCGCACTAATCATTTTAAGTTACTATACAGATACAGTAGAAACATGCCAAATGTTAGCAACCTCATTCCAAACCAGAAAAACTTAGTATCAGATACATTAATTTTTAATGAAATTATTATATCAGTTTAACATTTTAAAGCTAACTTGGTGAGAAGCTGATTTTTTCTAAAGCTATAAAAATTACAAGAATTATTGGGCTGTGTGAATTTGGCTAGAAAATAATGATTTGACTTTTCAATCTCTCACCTGTATTAAACAAGAATTGCCAAGAAAAGTGAAAAAAAAAAAATGTAACTATTATTATGACATACCACAAAATTATATAGGCAAGAGTCAAGTTCTCTGACACTGACTGTTCTGACCAGAGGAAGAAGCCTAATGTTCTTCTATGATGCAAATTAGATCCAAAAGAAAATATGCCAAATGGTAAAAAAGAGTTTAAGAAATACTTGCTGCAAATTGCACAGTGGAGAAGTTAATTCTTGCAAAAATGAAAACACACTGGTGGTGGACACTTTCTTGCATGTCTGACTGATACCATGTGGGGAAAAGTTTGACTAAGGAACTGACATGCATTAAAACCCAAAGGAATGAGGTGCCAATTGTAAATACATTTTAGAAAATGCTGTGAATAAGCCTGCCAACAGCAATCACCATTAAATGAATACTGACCATTATGTGCTCACACTATCTGGAAAATCCAGAGCGGGCTTATTATGGAAATGAAGAACATGGGCAGAGAATGGAACCTCATCTGAGAGGACCATCAAAAGCTTCAAGTATGGCAGATCAAACTCAACAAATGGAATCAAGGATGGAATTCTGTGAAAAAAATGAAGAATGGGAAAGAAACTTGGGCAGTACAGTGAAGACAATATCAAATGTAGATAAGGATCTTCTTTTGGTACACTGTAAATTATTAGTTTTCTTTAATATACTACAGTCAGAGGTAATACAGAAAAAGACTCACTGTCACTTCAAGTTTAAAAAGTTTCATTTGTCAAGAAGTGAAAGCACCCAAGATTTTAAGTTGTCTTATATTCGGAAAATTGCAGCACACCCCAAATCAAGTTTCACTGTGTCAAATAAGTTAGTTCCTTATAGAATTCTAAGGAATAAAATGGCGTAAGTCTTACTCTGCAGCAAAAACTCATCTACATATCCTAGATGAAGGGTCTCAAACTGGGGAAACTCCAACTCTGCCATCTTGAGGGCAGAAAAGACGCCATCTTTGGTTAGGGAAGGCTGGATCCGAACTTCATGTAACCTGTGAAAAAGAGATACATAGCAGGTGAAATGAAAGTCGTCATCACTGTGTAGTAAGAAATTAGAAGGCTAAAAACAAATACTAGACATTCATACAGCAGACAATTCAATAATATAAACCACTTTCAAAAACCAGTGGACAAGAGCTGGTGATGGCAAAAGGGAAAAAAAAGGAAGTTGCAAATAGGAGTTTAAATAAGTTTAAAAAATAAAACAGCTTAATTAAAAAAATTTGAAAGCCATCAGAATCAATGGTTTCTCCTTAAGTAAACACTCTTCAAGTTTATTTTCCTAAAGTTGGAAGATGCAAAAAAGTTTTCCCCTCTCCATTAAAAAATATCAGACCAGTTTCCTTTAAAGGAGTATTTTGCTAAATATGAGCATAGCTTGCACAGTGTGTTCATTATATTTAATAATGAACTATACAGTAAGAATTTTAAATTCTTTCCAGTGCTTTCTTAGATCTGACTGAGTCAAGGCCGACAATCTGTAGTTGGTGCTGGTATTTCTATAATATCTTATTTATGATAGTTCTTAATGTCCCATTGTACTAAAAAGCATGTTTTATAGGGGCCTCCCCTGGTGGCACAGTAGTTAATCACTGGGCTGCAAAGCTGCCTGCAGCCTCTGCAGCACCGGCTTGATCCCCGGCCACCAGCGAGGGTCCCACATGGCGCGACAGACCTCTCCTGCTGCACCCCCTGCTCCCCTCAGCAGTGTATTTCGTCAGTCTGCCTGTTCTGTTCCCCACTCTGGTGAAGTCTCTCACCCTCCCGCGCTTCTGACTGTACCCAGTGCTTGTATAAATAAATAAATAAATCTTTAAAAGAAAAATAAAAAGCATGTTTTATAGTAGGTAATAACCTCTGCTTACTTAAATTCACACAGTTTTGTTTTATTTATTCATTCTTAATATTCTATTGTTAGAGTTTTGCTTTGATTACAATGAAAAAATGGTTAATTCCTTTTAAATATAAAAATATAGTAGATATTAAAATAGAGGCAGACTTTAAATATATAGGAAATAGTATATTCTATTGGATACATATTGCTATATAGGAAACAGTAAATATGGCTTAAGATGATAGGAAAATATGAGAGAAAACATTAAACTGTTACAAGGTTGGGTCCCTGGAAAGCTGATTTGAAACACTTTCTACAGAGTAAATATTATCACAAGACTGCAGACATCAGACTTCCATGCTCACTTTCCCTGGACTCTCAAGCACTTCCAGATAGTTGCCTTTCTCTGATGAGATCAGCCCTTTTATAGCTCATTGGGTTTGCAGTACAGCTCAATTGGTCTTCAGTTATAACAAAACACTACCATTAAGTGATACCCAACAGCTATTTAAACAACTCTTTTGCATTTTAAACCTGAAGAAGTTATGATAAAATTTCAAACACATATTTGCCCCAATTTCTGAAAAACAGAAAATAGTATATATTCTAAGACAAAAGACACACTGAAAAGGAAACACACCTACGGGCAGCTGTGATGATGAGGTAACCAAGATCTACTTCAAGAGCATTTTTGCAGGCTCCCAAAACAATAGTGTGCAAATTTCTAAAACCACCTAGTTAGGAGACAAAAGGCATAAAAACAACAATCATTCTTTTGACCATAGCACTTTCAGTAAAGCACTCAGTAAAACATTAAGAGTCATTTTAAATTTTAAGTTTGTCTATTCAAATTAATATCTCAAGGTGAATTATAATAGTCAATGCCTAAAAGGAGATTCTGAAAAGACATTCTGATGGCATCTGAAAATTACTCCAAATGATTTAGACTTTTAAGAAAGATTTTCTTAAAGCCAGAAGCTCATGGGGGAATTGTAAAGAAGGGATTCTGACATCTTCTAGCCAAAGTCTGAACCTCTGACATGTCAGATGGAATAAGACCAGCACGAGTTTAACTTTAATTAAATTTTCAATATTTTTCAACCTTGTAAATATATACCAAAGAAGTGCACAATTATTAATGCATATAGTTGAATGAATTTTCAGAAGATTGATTTGTTTTAAACTTTTATAAAATCACCCAGTATGCATACTTCTGTGTCTAGCTATTAAAACTAAACATTTTATGAGTAGTGTAACGTGGATGGTCATCTCCATTACTGCATAGAGGTGTAGCTTGCTCATTCTGATTGCTGCATACTAATCTACTACGAATATACCACATTTAACTCTCCACTCTACTGCTGATATCCATTTGGATTGTTTCCATGGGGGTGGGGGTCTATTACGAACAGCACTGCTATGAATAAAAATAATGCCGTTGTTTCTTGAGGGAGTCTGCTCCATCCCTTTGACACAGCACATGTAGTGGATTTGTACCAGATTTGATTAACTGACAAAAATGCCTGAAAATATAGTGCTTACTCATATTTTAACAGTATTAACAATAATTTCTTTTTGCCCGTGCACATGATTACTCACGTCCATCAAATAAGCCAGAGAGAAAACACAATTACTAACAAGCACTTTCTTCTAAAAAGACTCGGAGAAACAAAATAAAAGCTCAATGAAGTTTCAAAAGTAATTTTTTCAATATTTAGTAACAAAAGAAAACTGAATACCTGATCTCCAACTGTCTTCTACTACATGTTGGATAAGACCTCCTAGGAAAGGAACTCGAACCATTTCCAAATGTTCCAAATTTCGGGCAGAGGCTAAGCCTGTTACTAAAGGGACATATTTCAAGGAATTTGTAGGTCCTGAGGAAAAAAAACAAAAAAAATCTTCAGTGGAACAATGTAAATTGCCTTAAAGATGAATTTTCTAACCCGTACATGAAATGACTAACTTTGAAATTCTGTATCTGTAGAGGACAGCCAAGTTGTTGGCTCTCTGCAATTTACATGTTTTATTACAAATAAAAGCATTAGTTATCTTGTTAATCACATACTTGGTTAGCAGAAAGATTTTTCAGTTATACTAGAGAGATATTTAGGACTTTTTGTGAATTCCCTTAAGTCTCAATAGTTTTGGACCCAAAATAAGTGAGGAGGAAAAAATCAAGTTGAAAAGTTGACTCTCTACTCAAGTGAAAAGCTCTAACATTTAAATATCTTTCAATGTGTCCAGTACTATATTCAGTGTTAGGGAAGATCACAGAAGATATGATCCTGCCTATTACAGAGCATGCAATTAACCACAGAGAGAAAGCCAACATTAGTAATTCTGAAAGATAAAAAGGCAGGCCAAGTATATGATCTCCTGCCCTCCATAAAAAAGAAAGAGAAGAGGAAGATAAGGTATAGGAGGCAGAACCTGAAGGATGTCTACAAGTTAAAAGGAGGAGGAAGGAAGTACATACCCCAGGACAAGGAACAGTAACAGTACAGAGAGACACTGAGGTGAAAGCTGGAATGGCTGTGTGTGATAATGAATAGGCAGGTGTGACTCTAAAAGAAGGTAAATCTTAGAGAGGAGTAAGAAATAGAATCTCAAGAGGAGCCCTGGCACTACAAACTCTGAAGCAGGATAGTCCCACTTGACGCCCTACAGCAGAGTATCAGCGGAGTTTTCTGAACAAGAAAGTACCATCGTAAAAGCAGTATTTAAGGTAGACTAGAGCAGGCAACTATTTACATGCAGGATGATTAGGAGAGCAGAGACAAAGAAAGTAGACAGACATTTATTAAAACAATCCTATAAAAGTACCTAAAAGTAATATGTAGAGATGGTCTTACGCTTTTTTCTTTTTTGCTCTGAGTCAAACACAAATCATTTGTCTAATAACAAAGTTTTTAAATAAAAATGTACATTTATCTTCACAAACTAAGTTACAAAACACAAATAGTGATAGCATAATATAAGTTCATTTGCAAATGTAGCTCTCAAGTGGGTCTAGCAGAAGATATGAGTCAGTCTACCATACCTGCACAGTTTCTCATGACGAAAGTTCGTAAGCTGATGCAAAGAAAGTCTTTGAACGGCTGTGGTTTAGTGAGTCTTACCCACTTCATATAAAGGTGCCTTAGCATTGGGATACAAGGAATTTCAGGAACATTCACCCCTAAAACATATATACAAAGAACAAACAAGAAAAATCACTAAAAGGCTTGTATTCTGTGTATAAAATCAAGAGTCTATTTTTCAAGTTGACAATTTATCTTTCATGGATTATTTTCACTGGAACAAATTACGTAAGGAAAGCCTATCTGATGGGCTTATTCAAAACAAGCTTGTGAAGAACAATTTAAACAAACCATACACAGACTAGTTTGTTATTTCTTTAGAAAAGGCATATGGGAAGATGGGACAGGAGAAGTATTTCTGCTTTATACATGTCTTTCTTATAACCCTGCAACTCTGTTAGGACAAATTTGCTATGTAGATGCAAAAATGCAAAGAGGTTACTAAAAGCAAAACTGTGAAGACATAAAAGGAATACATAAAACTGAGAGCTGACTACCCGTGTCCACTGCCCCACAGCAGGAAAACTAAATTTCTCAATCAAAAGCAAGCTAACTGGTGTTAATTTTAAAGTCTTCTGGATGACATTCAAAGATAGAGAGTAAAGCTGTTTCTACAAATATGTGAATCACACGGATTTGTCAACGTGTGATGGAAACCAGTGAGCATGACTTGAGAAAGTTGAGAAACTCAACACTGATTTATTTAATATTTCAAATTGATAAAGGTATCTCTCCTTCTGACCCCCAAGTGGCATAACACCAGGAATCACACCCACATGTCCAGAAGAAAGGGCTTGTAGAGTGGAGGCAAAGTCAGGAGATGTGGAAGAAGAAAGAAGACAGAACTTGTAAGTTCAGAATGGAAGGAAGCCAGCTGTGGAACCTGTCAGATTCTAAAGACTACAGGCTAGAAAAAAGTCAAGGAAATGACACAAATGTCTGAGACAAATCCAAGAATCCAGGGATGGCATTTAATAAGCAGTAGGTGACAAAAGCAGTTTAATGCAACATTAACTCACACCAGTAGAAGCCCTGCTAGTAACAGTAACTACAGAAAGCAAAATGGAATACTTGAATGTTTGGTTCTTCACAAGTTCATCTGTGGAGAATTAACCTACTGTAAGGATTACCCTTAACTTGGTTCTCCCCCCAAGGGATAGCTAACTTTAGTTTTGAACTCTGCATTCACATCGTATGGCAACAGATAGCAAGGAAAACTGGGGATGAGTAATAAAGAAAAAAGGCAGAGGAAGTGAAGGGCAGATTGAGACGCAAGGGGCAGTTTTGAAGGTCTGTTTAGCATCTACCATGACATGGACAATTTTTTGACCAGGAAACCCAAAGTAGCAAGGGCGAGAAAGATCCAGACAATGCGCTTGTATGTTATACCCAACCCACATTTGGCCTCAAATCCATTCTATAAACAAAGGACACAATTATTCATCCTCCCCAGCATGTTCATTAATTTGCTATACACCTTGAATCACCATTATGGTGTTAAATCAGTGAATGAACCAACAAACAAATTAATACATTTCCATAAAAATTACCAAATATTTATACTTACAATGAACTGTGACAGACACCATGGAAAATACAGAGATATAAAATAGTTTCTGACTTTAAGGAGTCCCTTTATGATCTGAAAACAATATCAAACTAGATATTGTCCCTAATCAGGTCCCTAATCAGAACCACTCCTTGATCTTACATATGGAATGTTGCTTCAGAGTTTTATTCTCCTTCCACAACTGTGTACAGTCTTATTTAAGACCAACTCCTTATCCCCCTACTACTCTGCCTTCACCCCTGACCCTGTTTCAGAAATTCCCAGTTCTTTGCGACTATTCCCAAAACCTAAAATGTTTGGAACACAGCACTCAACATTTTTTTAATATTTAATAAAAATTTTTGAAAGTCAGACTATACTAACAAAAATGAAGGAGTAAAAATATAGGCCTTTCCATCACCACAGAAAGTTGTACTGGAGAACTCTCCTCCAGAGAGTAGAATTAGGACCAAAAGGTGGTAACTGGAGAAGGGCAGGATTCCAACTCACTGAAGCAAATAAAACTGCACAACTTTTCAACTATTCAATCTGTTTTCAAAAAGGGAACAGACAGGTTGTGAAGTAGCACTCCCCTCTTCCCGCCGCATGACTCTTTAATGGGAAATCTAAATTTTTATAAATGTCTCACAAGCATTTCTTTTGCCATCATCATTAGTCAACAATGCCAGATATAAAACTCCCATTATCCCCTTTTGGTGAATATGTAATTATATGGCATTTCCAGGTCACACCTTGCACAAGTGTACTTACCAACTAAATGTAAAGTTTGAATTTTGGCTCCTATAGGAATTTTCAATTTATTTTCAGGAGGAATTGGAAATGCTCCATTACGATTACGAAATTTGCCCAAAATATGAACATGTGGCATATATGTCCAAATGGATTCTACCAATTCCAAATGAGAAGTTTCCACACCCTAGAAAATAATGCAGAAGTCAACATAAGAAAGGGCTACAATTTAACATCCAACGCTGCTATAATACTTTAAGTACATAACAAAATTTGAGTTTCTTAGGGATGAAGCTGCATTTTCTATCATTCTTTGATCTATTATTTCATCAATCAGTTGAGGTCAGATAATCATCCAGGTGCACTCACCACTAAGTTTGGGCATGCCTGCAAAGCTTCCAGAACTCCTGGAATGCTAAAAGCCTCATGGCCCCGTACCCTTCGCCTCTCAAGGTATCGAGGGTGAAGGCCATATAGCTGTTCGACGTCTGGCATCTTCTTCAACAGAGTTAGAAAACTGGAATCTGTGAAGCCTGAGAAGTTCAGAAGTATTTAGAGCCAAGTTCATTTTCTGTTTGTCAATATTTACTAGGCACTTGTAATTTTTATCAAAAGTTAGGCCAGCAACAAAAATATTTGCTTTGTAAATTTTCATAAAGCTAACACTACAGCTGAATGAGTGGTTACTACAGAATATACACTTTTCTAGTACAGAGGAAATGTATCAGAAACACTTATTCTGAATTAACACTTCATAGTTGAGGCTTTTAACGTCTTACTGACTTTTTGTAGTTGCTGCTGTTTTTAATGCACGGAAATCTTCAACTAGGAACAATACACTTTTTTTTTTTTTTTAAAGATTTATTTATTTATTTATACAAGCACTGGGTACAGTCAAAAGCGCGGGAGGGTGAGAGACTTCACCAGAGTCAGAGCAGGGAACAGAGCAGGCAGACTGATGAAGTACACTGCTGAGGGGAGCAGCGGGCGGTAGGAGAAGTCTGCATGCCATGTGGGACCCTCACCCAGTGCCCGGGTATCAAACCGGCGCTGCAGAGGCTGTGAGCAGCTTCGCAACCCAGCGCTCAACCAGTGCGCCACCAGGGAGGCCCTAGGAACAATACACTTTTAACTCAGATAATTTGGACCTATCTGGCCAGCGGTTCAGGAAAAATCACCTAACTCATCAATAACCACCCTCCCCCTCCCCCTAAAAAGCTCTCTGGCCCCTAAAACAGCCAGGAGTTTGCAGAGCAGGCACACACAGACACACACATAAACGAGTAAGAGATGATCCTGCTCTTCAGGAAGCGACCAGTTCTAAACTAAACCCGTCTCAAACTACTTTCTATTAGCTGATCCACTGCTCTGTCCTGCATTTAACTATCACTCACTGGACATCTCAGACGACTCATTTGTCTGAAAAAGAGGCTGCTGAGAGAACAGAAAGGTATTTATCTAGGAGCTCACTATGCTCACTATAGTGAGAATCAACCAAATGGGACCAGAGGCAGGTGACCCCCACAGCAGGAGCTGCTAGTGTGACAAGTAAGAGACAAACCTCGTACAGATAATTACTTTATTTTCTAAGGTCTTTTGTTTTTAATAGAAAGTCAACTCTCTACTCACAAATATAAATATTCTCAAATAAAAATGAGACCTCCCAAATCACAAAGGCTTACATAACTCGTTTTCAAAAGTTATGTACAAGGCTAGACCAGGTGACAGTGTATCTTTATTCTAAAGTTAAAACTGAAGAGCAGAAGGCACCTCAGAGATTACTTACTTCTATCCTCCGTAGTAACTTCCCTGATAGAGCCATGCAATGTGTTAACCATTTTATATGTTCTCTCATCTATTCTTACAACCCAATGATAAAGGTTATCACCCTACTGACAAATGTAGAAAATGAAATTGAGTTTAAGAGCTATAGCATGACAGAGCTGGAATTCAAAACCAAATCTGACCACTGCCAATGACCATACTCTTTGTCACACATTACAGATTGCCTCCCACCAAACAATGGGTAAAGTTCTAGTTCCTCCTTCTTTATAGAAATGGTGAGATAACAGAAAGAGATCCATACATAAACTATAAATTACTATATAAAACCTCAGGTAACATTAATATATTGAAGAACCAGAATTTAAACATCACAGACTAGGCCAGGATGGCATTAGTAGACAGACAGGTTGATATCTTAGCCCAGGCTAGAGACTGTTTATGCTCTTTCAATTCACTGCAGGAATGGAAAGTCTCAAGCTCACAGGTATTTATCACAGCCTGAAAGAAGTGAGCACTTCACAGACAAATTCTTTTCTAACTTGATAAGGGGCAGAGATGTTAATCCTAAGACTGCATGACTTGGGAGCTTTGCTATCCTGCCTCTTTTTAAAGTGCATTAAAATCCTACCTCCAAAATTTCTGCTGGCCTAACATCTATTAAAACAAAGATAAGATAAGCAATAAGACAGTCATTTTCACACTGCCCTAATTTTTTTTTTCTTTCCTACTATCAATGGCCATTCTCTGGAATAAGGAATCCTCTTCCCTTAGAACAGTTTCTTTAATGTATAAGTTTCTTTAAAGTATAAGTGGCTGTTTGCCTCCTGCAAAGTTAAGTTCTAGCTTCAGGTCTTCACAATGTTCACCAAAAGGTACCTCTGATACCCACTCTGGCCATCTGCTATGAGTTATGGCCCTCTAGAGAGGCTGTAGCACCCCAAAGTGCACAATATCCAGGCATCCCAAAGGCAGTCTGTCCTGATCCAAACAACAGAACAAAACGAAACAAGTATATTCTCTAATCTTCATTTTTCTTAAGGCTCACTGCTGGCTCCAATATCACATTTCAAAATCTGATGATTGTGAAGAAAGATTATTTAAAAAGAGTTAAAACTACTAACCCACCATAACTAAAGGGCACGAGCTAGTGGACTGTTGTTAACTGAAAAGCCTAAGTGGCCCTTAATTTTAATTCCTCCCTTCATGTACACTTTTGCTTAACTCAAGTCATCAACTTTCTTTTCTGATGGTCTCTTTACCTGAGGCCCATGTATTAGGATTAGGTCACTAACTTTGAATTCTTCACCTGAATCTCCGAGGCCAAGGATAAGCCTAGAAAAGTGCTAAAGATGTGAAAGTTCCAGAAGTACAATGTGTGGCCTACTAGAGCAGCTATACAACAGGAGGCATTTGTTTAATCAGAGAGTGCAGTTAAGGGGTAAAAGAAAACTGTGAAAACCTGCATTACAGAGCAAAGACATTTGTCTAATATGATACTTACATTTTGTTAGTAAGTATTCCCTAATCATTTATTTGTGGAAGAGACTAATGAAGTTTCTTGAGAATTGTAAAATTAAAGACAGCAGACCATTAAAACAGTATAAAGCCTCAGGCAAATCAATTTTATCGAACCTAAACCTAGAACCTAAACAAACCAGATAAAACCCTGCCTTTCCCACCTGAGGAGATTACTTCCATTGCCTTCCTCAACACAAGTAACACTTGATAAGAACAAGAACGCTCATATAGTTTCCAGAAGGGTGCTACTACCCTGTCCAGGCTATGTTCACTTACCACTTGGCATGTATTCCCACCACCGCCCTGCACAGAGGTCCACGACCCTCACAACTCTGAGGTATAGGGTCACTGCTTCCTTTAGCTTCCGGGAGAGACATTCCATACACATGATATCCTGCAGAGGGAGGTACCTTTGTGAGAGAAAGAAACTCGTATTTATCAAGTGAGTAAGTACTTCCTCTCACTTATAGGTTATTTTTTTCCCCTTCCTCCACTCTTCTGCTCCTCAAATGAAAAGATTCATAAATATAATCACTTTTATCTAAAAACAGATTAAGTTGGCAAATATTCAAGCAAATAATGCGAGCTCCCTCCATAGGGTATTTAATAATATTTCTTTCTCCTTTAAGTTTTCATGGCCAAAGAAAATATTTTTTTAAAGGTAGGAAGATGCTAAATCTCAGTGTATTTTGAGGTCTGATGACAAGAGAATGTGAAAATGATTCAAGAGACTGATCAATATGAACAAGACCAAAATTACTTCATAGCTTTTACAGAATCCATTTCCTATAGTGGCTAAAAAGGTTCCTCTCTGCTACTTCTCAATACTACCCTTATGCAGGAATTACTATTTTCTTCATTAACAAATAGGTATACTAATTTAATTGTACATAAGAGTTTCCATCTTAGTTCACACACTCTGATAAAAGTATTGCATAAGCATATAAGAAAGAACACCTCATCTTAATTACAACTTTCTCTTTTCCAACCTCTCCTCTTATCTCTTCCTTCTTGAAACTTTTCAACTAACCTCCACTTGGGTTCTGCTCCTACTAACACCAATATAAACTCTGAAAGATCAGAAAGCTCCCCCTTTCCTTTAACATCCTTCCAAAACATAGCTAGACTGATTAAAAATCAAATTAAAATATGTAAAAGCTGCCTGTTATGGAGCTGGCATTATGTCACAGATTATGGACCGCACGACTGTTTCACAACTTTACAAGTTAGGTTGCTCTTTGCCACATAGCGCTCCCCCAACCATTTCCTTCCCTTACAAGGCTCTGCTGTTCCGGGTAGGCCTTAGTTGATTGAAGGCACTAAGCCCTCACTGAATTCTTCAATTCTTCAACATTCCTAACAGGTCTCCTCAAACCTACCAACACTTCCTTAAATAGCCCCTTCTTTAAATCAACTTCAAATTTCAGCCAAGTGTATCTTGTTTCCTGCTAGAATGTGCACTGACACAGCAGGTAGTAGTTCTGCTCTAGTTTACAAGTGGTGAAATGAGCTCTGAAATGTTAATCTGCAAAAAGTTAACATCCATGTCAGGAGAAGAACAAACAGGGATATTAACAGTTTAGTATGAATCTAAATCCCAAAACGTATGCTAAATCTCAGGGAAAAATTCTAGTACATCTACTAAATATTTGCTCCATTTTTTTAAACCTCTGAACCTTCTCATTTTCCCCTTAAAAACGAATCAAATTTTCAACAAAAAAGGCATAACCCTAACTTACAGTCTCTAATACTTAGACACCACAAGTAGGATAATTTTCAGAAACTATATGACCATTCATTATAAACAATGAAAAATACTGAATCTGTTTTCCAAGTCAAGCTTTATCACTAAATGTCTTCACAAATCACCAATTGTTATGATTATTATCCAATGTATTTACCTGAGTTAATATCACACCCCTTTTAAATACAAACAACAGCAATCATCACATGAAGATTCTTCTGCATCACATTCGCCTTAGAAAAACAAATGTATTTTTTCTTCATAGACAATAAAAGAGCTGAAGCTTAAGAGTTCCAATACATTTTAGAAAAGACGTATTTAACATGGCAGGTAGGAAAGAATAAGCTTCTTTAAATTTTCTGTTTAATGTAGATAATGCTAAGTAGTGACTATAAGACTACTACAACGTGAGGCCTCAGATAAAAACTTTAGTAGCCTTAGTTTCACAAAGCAAAATCTCTTTATATTTAGAATAAATGTCTCCTACCAAGTTGAAGTGCTTATAACAAGTTCAAGAACCAAGTTCACAGTTCTTTCAGTCTGCTCCATGTTTTGTTCATAACCAGGGTCAGGTCCTTCTATTTGTTTCATCTGAATATTCTGTTTGAACTACAAAATGTTACCTAATCCACAAAGATTTAAAACATGGTCCAAGTGGTAGAGAACTATGGGCAGTAGGTGGTAGGACCATGTGGTAACATACAACTGAAGAGGAATGAATCTATACCTCTGTCATGTATAGTATTGTAAGCCACTGTTACCTGAGTATGAGGTAAATAAAATTTTGTCCAATCTGCTCGGAATATATCCTATCATTACCTAAGTAACATCTAATACCCAACCGCAGAAGTAATTTTTTTTTAAAGATTTATTTCTTTATTTATACAAGCACTGGGTATAGTCAGAAGTGCAGGAAGGTGAGAGAATTCACCAGAGCAGGGAGCAGAACAGGCAGAATGACGAAGTACACTGCTAAGGGGAGCAGTGGGTGCAGCAGGAGAGGTCTGTCGCGCCATGTGGGACCCTCGCCGGTGCCCGGGGATCGAACCGGCACTGCAGAGGCTGCGGGCAGCTTCACAGCCCAGCACTCAACTGCTGTGCTGGGGAGGCCCCCGCAGAAGTAATTTTACCTATCTTTTCGTCCAGAATTTTAAAAGCTTTTTTGTTTAATTCATAGATCCATTAAGAATTTAGTTGTCATATAATGAGAGCTAAGAACGTGCTTTTTTAATTTTTTCCAAAGGGTTTTTAAGTTGTGACATGACATCTGGAGAACCCACCGAGCTTTTCCTCATTCATGTGAATACAATTTACCATAAACTACATTCCCACAAATACTTGAATCCACATATGGAGTCTGCAGATGGAATCTGTCTGTTTTATCCAACAACAGCTATCTTGGTTCTCTTCATTCCCAAATCTTTATTTCACAAAACTTTTGTTTAAATCACTTACAGTCTACAATCTGAATAAACTGTTTTTCACTGAGTTATTGTCAAAAAGGCCAGAAACACTGACTTATATTGTACAAACAAGCTAGTATATATAATAACACAAATCAACAAACCTATCAGTCAGTAAGAATTGGAGTGTGAACACAATCTAGAGAACTTTCTGCAGAGACAGACACATTCTCGCTCTGAATACATGGCTTGTGCACTGAGGAACTGGGTTTTAAATCTAATCTAATTTAAATGTAATACCAGCTATAGCTGGTGGCTGCTTGACTGGACAGCACAGCTCTGGGGTGTGCTCCCACTTACACATTCCAGGTAGATGGAAGTCAATCAGACAAAAGCTTACCTGAAAATGTGGCAGAGCACTTCATGTGAAAGTTGATTCATATAATCCTTTGTTTCATCTGATATTGTTTCCTCCGGGATTTCATTATTCACTAGACATGTTTTAACAATTTTCTTTCTTGGACCCATTGCAGTATTATGGCCAGTCTCAAAGAACACAAAGGCCTCCCTCTTAGTTACTTGATTTCAAAGCACCTGCAAACAAGCAGAGAATAAACAAAAGCACATCAAATCCAGACACAGAAATTATCCCCATAAAACCCAGGTAAGATAATATTTATTTTAAAACACTAAGGTAGTACTATTTCCACATTCAAACTAGCAGACATTTTACACCAGAGGCACAGAATGTCCTTTTCTGAAGTACAGTAGAGAATAGAAAAATGCATTACTTGGAATCAGCACTTCCAGGAATCAGGACTCCAGGATTCCAAAATTTACTGTGATGCTTTCTCACTAAATCACTCAGTATCTCCAAGCATCAATTTCTTCCTATGTAAGGCAGGATCATTACACTTCACTAAGGTAAAACCACAGGCAGCTCTGGCAGCATGTTACTCCAGGACTACCTGACATAGCAGAAGGTAACAGAGGACTCGTGGCTTCTAATCCTGATCTGCCACAAACTATGAATGAGCCCTTGAAATTTTTCATTTTCCTATCTATAACATAAGGGGATTAGATTCCAGCAGTGGGTCACTCCCTTACGGATCTGACAAAAACCTTCTCTTCAAAATACAGTACAAACTGATGTGCATTTTCAGAGGGAAAACAATCACCCTCCCCTCCCTTCACTTGTGTATCAAATGTGTGTTGTTTGTTTTTAAAATAAGTTTTAACTAGGGAGGAAGAAGGGGGTTCAGTAGAAAGCAGGAGTAATAAAGTGGGAAGGGCAGAGGAGGAGGAGGCAAGTCAGAAGATGGGCCACCCAGAGGTTTTTTATTCTGTTGATCGGAGGAAGAGAGGACTATGTGAAAAGTGTTCTTTAGAACAGCATTATGAATTATCACTGGTAAAATTCTGAAAAATTATCTGGACTCAATCTCAAACAACATGGCTTCTGAGGTGAAATTTAATCGTGCTACAGTGATGCACGGAACTGCTGTTCCAAATTAGTGGGTTTCCAGATTACACAGTGCTTGGTCCCTTGTACACAGCAACTTCTTCCCTCTCCTCATAATGATTCTTGATTCTCTAAAGTTCCTAAAGCTGCCTGCATGTGTCTATTTCCTGAAGAGCCGACTCAGCCAAGTGTAAGCTTTTCTTGGTGACCTGTGGTTAGCGTGAGTACACATTATTATATCCTCCCCTCAGGGACTACTGTGTGTAGTTCTGGGGCTTCTTTGTTTCAATGGTAAAGGGGAGCAAACCCCTAGGCTAAACCAAACTTCGTATTTCTTAGGCTTGTATATCTATGTTGTGTACTGGGTCTCTCCTGATTATAAGACTGGCCCCTCTCCTATTCACAGCCCTCCCCAGATGCACTGTCCAGCTATGACAGCGCCTGGCACTGCTCTCAGGTTATTCTGACCTCCTAATCATGCAAATTCAATATCTTCTTTTCATTGCTCCTATTCATTTGTAGTATGGGGTGCTGGGGACCACTTCTTTAAAACTTTCTCATCCTTTGGCATTTTGTTGGTCCATCTCCTTCCACTACTACAAATACACTAAAAGAAGATTAAGAATTAGTCAGAATTAAAAACATAAAGGCATTTCTCCCTATAGAAAATTTCCTTTTTAAGTATAATAAGGTGACTGATTTTAAAAAAAAGTCCAAAATGACCTTCCCCAACTACAAATTGTCCCCTTCTCTCTCTCTCTTTCTCTCTCTCTCACACACACAAGCATGCATGCACAACTGTTTTCCCTTGTGTATTCTAACCAATTCTCAAGTTAGAAGCTGCAAAACCATCCTCAATATATCATGATCTCTCACATCCCAGTTACTCGACAGGCTTTCTTATCAACTTTGCCACAACAGTGATCTTACACCCACCCCCCTGGCTATCAGGTCTCTGTTAACACCCATGTGGATGACTTCGAAGGTTTCCCCAATGCCTGCAGCAAAGCCTACCACAGAGTAGGCCCACGGTAGTAATTACTGAATAAATGTTTATCCTGACATACTCCACATTGAAATAAGAGTTATCAACATTTCCTTGTTCATGCAGTAAGAAAAACAAGCAAGGTGTAGAAATAATGCTTAAGATATTACTACTGGCATTAAAGAAAAAGGACACGAATGCTTGTATTTGCACTGAGGCTAGGTGACCTTATATTAACTGTGGTTACGTCTGGGAAGGGAGAACAACATCAAGAAAGCAGAAACAAGGTTTTTACATTTCGTAGTCTTTTCCATTGTTTCAAATCTTTAGCCTGGTCATGTATGTGACATTTCTTAAAAAGCAAACAAAAATTGAATCAGCCTACGAGGAATGCTAGTTTCCATGGCATAAAATCTTTCCATGTGTTCTGAAAGTACCTTCTAATCTCATCACTCAATCCTTGCAACTCGTTTTTCACCATGCTAACACCAACTGTGCCAATATCCTTGGTCCCCTAAACACTGATCTTTCATTCCCAATATGCTGTTAACTGACTACAATGTCCTTCCCTTCCCTTTTTTGCCTAGAAAAACTGCTAATCTACCTTCAAAATCCTACATGTTAAATCCTCTGTGAAACCTTCTCTTACTCACCCTGCGAGGCCTAACACTTGCTTCCACTATCATAACTGGTCTGTAAGTTTATCACCCAGATATCTGCCGGGGAAAGGAAAAGAATCTCAGTCTCCTGCCCTGACATGATAAAAAGTCCTTGATCAGAACAAATCCTCAAATGTCTGATGTGTATGACTGTCAGTCTTTTCTTTATTCCAGATGCAAACAGTAGCTTCAAGGCGGCCAAGCACTTCATGCTCCTATGAGCACACTTGTTTACTAACACTCAGTAATTTCAGCAACAAGCCTATAACTCCGGCAAAAATGCAATTAGATTTTTTCATAAAACAGCTACAGTGCAGCACACAAATGCCTCAACATGATTATTAACCAGCACAGACCAAGCCATTCGTGCATCGCTCCAGCACTCAGACAAGCCTCCACCTCTATTTCAGCACAGGCTTCAGCTTTGATGAAACTGACAATTCGAACCCTTCGCAGCCACTACGTATTTGATTTTTCATCCCTGAAGTAAAAACCTTCCTTAGCCGTCTCCCTTTTTCTCTTCACCAAATCCACACCATTCCCTCATCTTGTAATTGACTTATTGGTCCTTATTATTTTACAATGTTGTGGTTCTGTGTCAACCAGATTTAGCTGCCTTAATACACTACCTCCACTTGAATTTTGAGTGAATAGCCTGCCCTTTAAATGTCACTGAGTTTATAAAAATTCACTTGCTTGGAACTCAGCCAAATATTTAGGTATGATGCTACGTATCATACAGAGGGCAATCACCAGCAAGCCCACAAAAATCTATTTTTTTAAAGATTTATTTATTTATACAAGCACTGGGTATAGACAGAAGTGCTGGAGGGTGAGAGAATTCACCAGAGCCAGAGCAGGGAACAGAACAGCCAGACTGACAAAATACACTGCTGAGGGGAGCAGCAGGCACGGCAGGAGAGGTCTGCGTGCCATGTGGGACCCTCACCAGCGGCCGGGGATCGAACCGGCGCTGCAGAGGCTGCGGGAAGCTTTGCAGCCCAACGCTCAACCGCTGCGCCACCAGGGGAGGCCCACAAAAATCTATTTAACCTACAGTATGTATTAATACTAACTAAACTAGCAGTACCAGGAAAATTTTAGGTGAAATTATACACATGTTTCTTATAGCATGGCTAAAATTAAAGACTTGGTCTTGAAGTTACCTACTTGGCAGGGGGAGCAGTGACATTTCCTGCTCTCAGGTGTGGTGAGGAAGGGATGCTGGGAGTTAGCACTGGGCAGTGGGTAAGATCTCCATCCCATACGTAGGGGCTTTACAGATCAGAACGTGTAGCAAGGAGGAATATACCAGGCCTCTCCAGCCTAGGTAAACACCTCTAGGAAATGTTCAGGGGATAAAATGTTACTTCCACTCACCATCACTCAAACTCTTTAAAGGACAACAGAAGTGCTTCAAGTAAAGCCTGCTATATCTTCACTCAAGTACCCAGCTAGGCTATGCCAAGCATTTCCTCTGGGCACTGAGGCCTAGTGTCCCTATAAGAGAAGAAAACACCATGCCAAGTCCCAAGTGACAATGGTCTCTCTCTAGTATGACACTCTCTCTTAATTAGTTTGCTTTTAGTGGGATGAGGGAAAAAGCAATTGAGAATAGAGAACTGCCATGACTGTTCTGTGTCTTGGTTTCTTCCCACACCTACCTCCAAACTATCACCATTTGCCACCTGAGCAACTTGACAAGGTAGAGAAGGACCACAGAATAGGGAAGAATCAAAAGCAGGAGTACATTAAAAAAAGAAAAGGAGGAAAACTCGAGTTTCCAGCAACAGAAAAAGAGGACGAATTGGAACAGACCTAGCAGAGAAGTTGTGGCGAGTGAGGGACAGAAGCACATATGTAACAGATGAACAGAGGTATCAGAAGACTGTATTTTGCAGCACTAGGCTTTATTTCCAGGATTAGCAAGAACCTCAGGAAAACTCATTCCGACAGTTACAGCTCCCTTAATGTTACAAGTTAAATGGGTCCTGAGAGATTTCCTAGTCGCCCACTTGCGGGTCACTAAACTATCTGTGAATATGATGAAAGCTGTCCATCTTCTTCCCCAAAAGAAAAACAAAACATACCCAGACACACGGCTTCACAGATGCTGAAATACCTACACAATTTCAAAGGCTTCCCAGACACACCAAAGCTGATGCAAAGGTCCGTATCCAAGATTGTTCCTCAGTTTTCAGCTGGACAAACTGAACCAGTGTCACTTGCGTAAGGGCACATAATAGGTGCGAGAGCTCAAAGGGAAGTCAGACTCCCAGTCTACAGCACATAGCCTATCATCATCCAGTCAGTCCTCTGCGTGGCGGCTGCCCGTCTGCATTCTGAAGCTACACCCCAGTGCATAGAGATGGACTGCTGGTGCTGATAAACTGCCACTGACCACACCTCCCTTCCCGAACCAGAGTATGTGGGCAGCTAATTTCGGCTCCTCACAGCAGCCAATGGCAGCCCTAGGTATCCTATGGTCCTCATGCACTTTTTCAGCAGAGATAAGCCACAGGAAACATGATTTTTGTTCTGGAAGCTCCATCTACATAGTAAGCCCAAGTTGTTTGTGGGTCTTCCTTAAATCTACAACATGACAGTTTAAATCTATCTCCTCCCATCCCAAGCAAAAGTATACTAGCCTCTACTAATTTGGTTCATTTTGATTGATCCCAAATTTATCCCTCTCTTTTAATCCTGAATCCTGAAGACTATCTTCACCTCTTGCAGGGAGCACCAACATTTTCCAGCTTGCAAAATCAAGTTATTTTCCCTTACTACTCTTTGTATTTTGAAAGTTTAAATCCTTATTATTCACAATTCTGACAATTGCTGATACCTATAAAAATCCCACAAAAATCAACTTCTTTACTCCCTCAATCTATCACAACTAAAATCTTCCTCTACCTATTCCATCATGTCAGCAACTTCCTGACTTATTTTACCAATGACTCCCATCTTCAGATCACAGACTCTCAGGATATATTTGTCTCTTATTACACACAAGACAGAGATAAACCAACTCATCTTGCAACTGACCAGAAAACTTAGCAACCCCTTCTTTTACACAATTTTGAATCAATTTCTCATTCTGTCTCTAACTACTGACAATACTGGGGAAAAACTCCATCTTTCTTGAGGCTAATATCTATCTATTCCTCCCTCTTTTCCTCCATCCCTCCCTCCCTCCATCCATCCCCTCATTCAACTGTGACTGCCCACTAAGACCAAGTTGATACAACCTCAAAGTGGACAGATTCTACAACCAGTTGCTAACAACTTCACCTATTTCAATTCACTCTGATTTAAATTACCCTTCATTACACTCATCACACTCACTGAAAACATCTTTTTCCCATTTAAAATCCCCTAGTGGGCCTCCCTGGTGGCGCAAGGGGTTAAGCACTATGAAGCAGTCCACAGCCTCTGCAGCACAAGTTCAATCCCCGGCCGGTCAGGAAGCAACCCACATGGCGCAGCAGACCTCTCCTGTCTCGCCCGCTGCTCCCCTCAGCAGTGTATTTCAGTCAATCTGCCTGTTCTGCTCCCCACTCTGTCTCTGGTGAATCCTCTCACCCCCCGCATCTCTGGCCTGCATCCCAGCTCTTGTATGCATAAATAAATCTTTAAAAAATAAAAATTAAAAAAAAAAATCCCCCAGTGTCCGCAATCACTTTATGTGGTCAAGGCCTCCCTGTATTTCAGGTTTCTAATGCCTTTTTTTTTTTTTAAGTTTCTGTTAAAGCTACTGCTCATATCCTAGTAATTAAACATGCCACTTATTTTGATATCATTCCTCACAACACTGCACCTCTATATTTACTACCTAAGACAGCCTCTTTTACTTAAAGAAACACCACACAAATCTGCTCAGAGGAAAAGGAAAACAAACAAACAAACAAGCAAGCAAACAAATAACAGATCTGAGAAGGTTTCAGAACCATCCAGTCAATCTTCATTTTCTAGGCAAGGAAAGTGAGGACCAGCGAGGTAAGCTGACTTGTCCAGAGTCACAGTCATCTAGTACCAGTAAAGAAGCAAGGATCCAGGTCTTCAACTCCAGTTTAAATCCAATTTCATTTCACTTTATTACTTTACCTTACTGAAATTTAGTTTTGCCTTTTCTAGTCTATATTATCATCTCTTTAAACTGAAGATCATATACTTCCAGGCACACAGTCATCTAAACAAACACACACACACACACACACAGCCATATTCTTTAACAAAGAGGACATCAGAGTCAAAGCAATCACAAATTTTAAAAATAGAAGGAGTCTTTGGGATCACCTGAACCAGTAACTGTCAAGACGAATGTTAAAAATTACAAGCACTGGTTTTTCAATCTCTTGGACTACATACATGGCATGAGCCCTCCCCATGCCACCTTTTCCCTCACCCAGAAAATCATGATCTCATGAAGCCATTATTTTCTCTTTCAAGTATGCTGGGAGGATGATTAAGAACCAGTAGCCAACAGCTTCATCTGACAAATGAGAGAGCTCAAGTTCAGAGAGGAAGTAATTTGCCAGCAAATTCAGAGCAGCTCTAGGGCAAAAACCAAGGGTTCCCATTTTTCACACTGGTGTGTATTTTATATTGCTGGTATAAGTTTATAGAACAAAGTCTCTGGACAGTGTTTCCCACTACACAGGCACCTTTCTAAGTCCCCAGTTGCCCTTGGCAAGCTTGATGTCTGGTAAGAAACACGATAGACATCTAGATCACTGAACTCCTGGCTTTTCAGGATGCAGGAAAAACTCCTTGAAAGAGGATTGAGAATCTGCGGTTCAGAGCTAGGAAGGGCACGAGCGGCATCCAACACATTCGTTTTACAGAGAAGCAGATGGCACAGAGAGGCTAAAGAACACGGGCAAGGTCACAAAGTCAGTCAGTGGAGGGGGTAAGACTAGAACTCGGGGCTCCTGATCGCCGGGATGGCTGCCTCTCAGAGATGTAGTCACTGCGTCCTGCTCAGGGACATCCCCTTAGTACGTTGAGTATAGGCCTTCCTCAATTTTCTGGCGTAAACACTGATTTAACATTAAAACATGGGATTCGTGAAGCCCAGAATGGGAGGGAGCCCGGAAGTTTTCCAGGCCAAATCCCACATTTTGTGGGGGAAATCGAGGTCCAGAAATGGTTCTGTGTGCCGGGATCTTCCGCCAGATTTAGACCAGGTGGCAAACCCCACAACCAGGGCCTAGAAGGCCAAGAACTACAAATCCAAAAACCCCTCTCTCTGGACTCTAGGCCCGAAGGTGGCCCGCAATCCAAGCGGTGGGGAGCCCCAAATCCACCATCCGCCGCCTCCGCCCCAGCCGCACGCACCCCAGGCTATGCGGCCCGCCTCCAATCCCCGGGCCCCCTCGGTCGCTGCCTCACCTACGCCGGCCCACCGTCTGTTATTGTGGTTGAGAGGGCGGGAGAAAAGCGACAAGACACTTCCCGCGGACCCCCCCGCCGCGCCGCTTCCGCCTCCGCCGCTGCTGGGGCACTTCCGGGATATTGTCTTCCGGGGCGGGGCGCGCACCGTGCGTCCCTGTTGGGTGTGGCGGAGAGCGCGCGCTTGGTGGCCATGTTAAGTGTGGCGTTTCGGGACTGCCCGGGGGCTGGTCTTTGACGTGACGCAACGCCGCGCCGGAAGTCGTGATTCCGACGCCTGGAAAGAGTCGCGACTCCGAGGTGTGTCCCTGGCTGTGAGGTGTTAAATACGCTTTTAAATGCCGCGTTTATCATTTGCAAGAAGGTTGAGTAAT